ATGGGAATTCCAATAACTTGGCTTTTTAAGCTTGGATACTGAGTGCAAGCTTGACCACACAAGCAGCGGCATGAAGCTACATGCTCAGCCGTAAATTTCGCGAAAAGGAGGACCTAGTCAATTTCAACAAAATCGAAGAAAAACAGTGCATAAGCTTGCACGCAGGGATGATTACCTGTTCAACATTTTGCAAAACCAGCTTCAAAAACTTGAGGAAAGGGCTTAAGCGGATGTGCCGAGATGTGTAGGCGGTGAGTGACTGGTGCAGTTTAGTAAACCTCTAAAGCTTTGCAAGGGATCGCCAACGCAAAAAAGGTCGGTCACAATTCTTGAAACGGCGCCTTTAACGTACGTAGGCTGTGGCTACGGCCAAATTGGCGATATCTCTGGTATGAGTGCCCTGGGCGGTTTAGACAGTGTGACACAAGGGTGGAGGTGTAATTCCGCCCGAATCCACCCACATTAATAAACACACACACACGCGTAGGAAGTTTGCTAACGTGTCTACTTCAACGCCAGGACATTGGTCCGCAATAATGTATTTCTGAAATTAAGTCTTCACGGCCGAAAAATGCTGAGAAAATAATATGCCGAAATTTTATTCTCAAAACATATATCAAGTGTCCTTCAGAGACATATTTCAGGCAGCGGAGAGCACTCAATATGCCTGTGATAATTTATGGAGGAAAAAATGCGATGTCATGATTCTAAAGCCAGATTGAGAGCTTCAGAGTGACTATGTCGGATGCCTGCAAAATATTCCTTCATAATTTTACCGTTTAAAGTAGAAATAACAGGGCGTTCCGAGAAAAGCTCGTGTTAGATTTATCGGCAGGCCCAGGTGATGTCGGGCAGTAGACAGAAAATGAAAAAAATGAACGCCACTGAGACTGTTGGCGGAGGAGTCAAAGGCAGTGCGGTGGGTAGACTCGTGGTCGCAGAATTACGAAAAACGTTTGATGCGGCTTTTCCACAAGGCAGGAAACCACAAAGGAATCCGGTGTTCAAAACACCCATTGCAACGGCCAGGACTGAGAGCAACAATAAGGGACGAAAAAATCCGTCTCAAGGGTGTTTCTGCTACATCCATATAAACCACAAACAGACTGTCTGGGAGAATTAAAACAAAAAGGTGCGAAGAAGACGCGGGTAGCGTGGGTATTAACTAAACAGGATTTAGAAAGGCCATACACCGAAAGGGATCACCTACACAACCAGACCCCTTTCCTCATGGAGGATATTCTGTACGCTGGAATAAAATTTAAGTAACTCCGAACTGATTTGGAGGACTTCTCAACTTTAAAGTTAAGTAACGCATAGTCAGAGATAGTTCAGAGATCCTTGAATAAATTTAAAAACATATTAGTAATTATGCAAACCATTAGCGATTTATGAACTGGTTTTTAAGTTGGACATGGTAACCGACACGCGATAAAACTATTTACCACAAATAAAATTTCTAAATATGATTTGGCAAAAAAATTACTACTACAAATGCCCCTGATGATCCAGACGGTTTGGCTTGTGTAATATTTGTTTCAGCCATCGCATCACATTATTCTCATCCAAAGTGCCTTAGATGGTTCACAGAAGTTATCAGACTCGAAAGGGCCGACACAACTTAAGAATGAATAAACAGGTGAGTAGGAAAAAAAGCTGGAGAGACAGCTACACAGAGGTAGTGGCAGAGGCTGATCATTAATTCGGTCATACCAAGGCATGGGAAGCAGCATTGACAAGGGCCGTGACGAGTGCCCTCTCGAGTTGGTCAATAATAGGGAGTCGGCCGTGGAAATTCACATCGACCTGGAGAGCCTCGCAACTGGAGGACTTCAGAGGGGAGGCAAGCGGAGCGTCGGCTGTTGATTTGAATTGATTTTGAGGGCTTTCTATCTCTGGAAAAAAAACAGGGGCTCGGAAGGAAGGCGTTTCAGAAGTCTTGTTGCTGGCGCACAAGGCTAGGATTGAGCATTTTTGGGACCGAGCGGAGTAGTGCAACTTTAATGGAATACCGCATATGTCGCATGACCAGTTTTAGTTGGCGGAAGCCAGAGTAAATTGTGAGTGAATAGAGCTGTACATAAATCGTATTACACCGACAACAATAAGATGGCTGGTCACGAACTTGTTCACGTCTTCGTCTAACATGCAGAGAGTAAAAAAACCAACCACTCAGACACGGTGACCGTATGACTTATGATCAAAACCGTAGTATGAGGAGCCACCTTTACGATCGGGATATCCGGCCAACCGCAACCCCTCTAAGCGCATCCGCGGGCGGAATGAACGCACGAGGTCGGCTAATTTCTCCACCATCTCTAATTGCGTTCCCCACACGTGACTGAATAAGAATGGCAGACTCGGATTTCTAGCTTTGAAAAGGGAGATTACGCAAGTGGTCGAGATGTTGGCTCACGTACTCCTGGGCAATACTTATGACATGTCACGCGATCTTTCCTAAAAAAAACAACGAAAGCCTCGGGAAGTCTCCTTACTGGGACGGCGAGTGAAATCGCCTTGAGGCATCTGTAGAAACGTGTTAAACGTCGGCCGCGGTTCAAATCAAGCCTGGATCACTGAGCTCACTAAATGTCAAAGTAGGCTGTACGTTCAAGCAGTCATTTTCAAGAAGCCACGATTTCACACAAAATGACTTTATCAAACGCCAAATTTCGTAAGGGCATCCGAACCCAGTCGAGCTAAACAAAGAGCCAATTCATAACTGGTTGTCAACGTGGGAGTTGTGCTTGGATGTCCGTGAGGACGTGGGCTGAAATGGACCTAAAGATTAACACAGAAGGTGGATTGTGGTGAATACATTTGTTTCACGTTCTGAGAACGTGGGCGAGATTCGAGTCTGTGAATGGCGGGTGTCCGATAGCGCGCTTGCATCTTGTTAGGAAAAATATGAGAGGAAGAGTTAAGTGGATCCACGTCACATCTAACGCCTATGTTTCGCACGACTAAGCGCGCTTTCAGGTTGTTACTATGAGCCAAAAGTAGTGGCTTGGAAGGTTGCCAACTGACGGGCTAACTTGCTGCAATAAGGGAGCGCTGGTTGAGGAGCGCTCACAGATCGTTCCTACGGGACTCACTCGTCCCGTTGTGCCTTACGGGCTCTATCTCGAGCCCAACCAGCAGCCGCACAAAGGCGCCTAATATAGACAAAGTAATATTCCGACAAAGACAAGAGAGACTGGAATGGTCACTTCTGACTTATTAGATTTCGTCAGCCAGTCATACCGAACCCCAAGAGGGAGGGCCCGTAAGGCACAACGGGAGGAATGAGTTACGTAATAACGATCAGTGAGCACCCCTCTACCATTGTACATTCCCGATCGAAACCGACAGGACAACGAGCCTGTGACTCGGTATTTAGGACGTTGGACTTCTAATCAACAGGTTGCGGGATCGATCACCCAGTGTTCCACACTTCGGGGGTGGGTATGACTGGCTGACGACAGCTAACGAGCTGGAAATGGCCATTCCAGTCTTCCTTGTCTTTGCCGGTAGCAAAATTCTGCCTAAGGACTGCTGGCTAGAATGGAATGGCGCATTCCTAAACTTGCCTTTATGGGGCTTTCATGGACGTCAGATCCATGACCCCCAACCCTAAAAATTCAGTTCATCTAGAGGCCAGCATGTGTGTTGCACGTGTAAACGAGAATCCGGTCTCGCCAGTCACCACAACTATGGCCAACTTAAATTGTAGCCAACTGACGCAGGTTTAAACCACTGTCCATGGGTACTGCAGTTTCTTAAAGCCAACCGAAATGCCCGAAGGAATCTAGAAAATCTAGTCGAACGGATATGATAGTCGATTTGAGCGCAATAGGCGACTTGCGAGGGGGTTTCCTTTAATCAGAAAACGGCTGTGAAGCGGTAGTAGAAGAGCAATACAGGCGAACAAGTAAGGGTTCTAAGCTGAATATTACGTAAGTGTTATGCATACTTTTGGCTTGGATATGGGTATTGTTGTCGTAGGACGGCGGATGACTGCAAATATTCAGACGGTTAAAGAGACAGGCGACAGAGAGGGGAGTGCGAGAGGAGAGGGAGGCGGGGAGGTGGGAGTGCAAGAGAGCGAGAGAGAGAGACCCAAAGGCATATGTGGGGTAAAATGTCACATCCGCACTTGTCAAGATTCCCTCAAGGTTTCGCCATAAAAAGGACACTGACTTATGGGACGTTGGTCCTATACTCGAATGGGCCGCATAATGACGGCAATGATAACCTCGAACCCGAGTGGTGTAGGTCTTACTAAAGGGGTGGAATAGTATGCCAATACTGTAACTAGAGTGTGAAGTAAATTTTTGTCTTATCAATGTCATCGAGGATATGACTTGGAATAGGTTAAAAGGTCTGAAGGCGTGTACTCTGTTAGCATTAGCAAGCCATGGCCCTCGCAGCCTCGTTCCCTGCTGGCAGATGCGCGTGCGATCCCGCTGGGAGTACAGGTGGTGGGCATGACTGCCCAGTCATCAACCTCGTTCTTCAGACCCCTGTTGGGGTGTTGTTGTTGCCAAAACCTGATCATTTGCTGTATGGACCAGGGGGCGTGGAGTGGGACGCCAAGGTGCGGGCTCGACCGTGCCATTCATCTGCGCCCACCCCCGCCTCCGATCTTTTTGACTCTGTCTTAACACCTGGTCTAGGTGGTGAGTGGGGAAGAGAAAGTGCGGTAGATACTGCGCAAGTCTACTATCACTATAAATTAATTTGCGCGAAAGTCACCGTGCCTGATGTACCTTGTTGTGGAGCACACGGTGGACATCGTCGAAATCGACAATCAAACTGTTGGGCCAGTGGAATAGGCACACCAGATAGACACCGAGTTGTACTAACCTATCTTCGGACAAGGAGACCCGTTCTGAGGTCTGCGCACCTACTACAGAACTAATTACCGACTCCTACAAACCTACCGAGTGTGATTTTAGCCTCTAGCTTGAAATTTGGAAGTCCACACGTGTGCTCAGGGTTCTGCTACAGAGGAAGCAATTACTAATCAAGATCGCCAGCTGTATGACTTGAATGCTTCTCAGGAGCCGGGCATAAAGAATGCTACTTAGAAAAGGATTCGGGAAGTGCGTGTGCACTTAGGATGCTGACAGCTGCTGTTTTAAACAGCCGGTCCACCATATTTAGGCACACATGAGATAGATGTCTGGATTTCGCCTGAGTAAAAGTCGGGAGTTGGCTTGGATAGCTAGCGATGGGGAGCGCGCATTTAAATTCCCTCGAAGGACACCGAAGACACTAGAAGAGACGAGTGACGTCACCTTGCATGGCGAAGGGAGGGGGGAGGGCGCGGCGGGACTGACTTATGTGGACGTCTAAAGAGGACATGGAAATAAGAACGCCTCGACCAAGTAATAAAGGCTGACCTGATTTCAGAAAGTACAACATATTCCTGTGTCCTAACCCCAAAAATGACCCTAATAAAAAACTGAACCGTTGCCCAAATCTTGATCGTATATGTGCAGGGTAAGAAGATGCTAACTGTTGTTTGTCAATAGAAGCGAAGAGACGAGTCCCAGGAAGTAGTCTTAAAGAAGGAGACACGATCGCACGGGGCAAGAGCCTTATTAGCCTGACGTTTCGGATTTCTGTTCGAACTCATCATCAAAGACAAAAGGAAATACGGGTGGTTCATGCAAAGGGGCTGCAGTATTTAAAGGATGAACATTCACGGCTCCCCCTTCATCCAGGATGGTCGCACTTGGTGTGCTGTTACAGTTGCGGACGAAGCAACTACGCCGGAAAAACCGGAAGACAGCTCCGAATGCGAATGGCCAAACACGCTGCAGCGGTGCGGAGAAATGACGCCAGCCCTCAAGTTGCGGCTCATTCGACGAGATCCGGCTACACATTCAAAGTCAACGAGGCCGAAATTCTCGCAAGAGGTGAAAACCGCGTGAGCCGGGAGCTACTTGAATCATGGTTTACTGACCCCCAGTCCATTAACAAGTGCAATGACTAAACCCTTGTCCCTAGCCATAAACTAGGCCGTAATCCTGCAGTCAAAACTTGTCCCTGCCTTAGCCCTAAACCTGATCCTGGCTTACGTCACCGTTAACTTTAAATCTAACCTTCAGCTTAATTCCTAACCTAACTAAAATTCCATCGGGAGCTGTCCCAAAGCCACCCGGCTCTCGTATAAATGCCCACGTAAGTCAGTTCTACTGGGAGCGACAGTAAAAAACGTCATTGCCAATTCTGACAGCATCACAAGAATTTAGAGCTAAGTTTTCAGGGGCAAAAAGAAAAACGATGAGAGAGAGAGAGAGGGAGAGAGAGAGAGAGAAGAAACGCAAATCAAAAGACCAGGCAGAGAATGCCAACCTGCAGACAGCAGCAGATGCATAATGCCATTAACTGTCCAGTTCAGATGGGACAGGAGCTTTAGGCGTTGGTCGGTGCGTTCGACTCCTTCGGAGGAAGAAAAGGCAAAGGAATGAAAAAAATTGGCGTCAACAGTAAAAAAGAGACCCACATGTTTAGTGCGTAAACAAGTAAATATCTAGTGTGCGCGCTCAAACAGGTACATGCAAGTAAACAGATAAGGCGGTTGTGAGGCTTCGACTGACTGGCGTCGAGCAGCCGATGCTGACGGGATCCAGAGACGGCAACTTTCTCTGCAAATGCCCAAGTGAAATCAATCGACGTTGTAAAGAAATCAGGCTACTTCGGGGTAATTGATGAGAGGATGGTGACCAGTTAGGAATTTTCGGTGACGGATTTCACCAAAGAACATGCGAAGACCCGGCAACTAACACCCTAACGAAAAGTCAAAACCCTAACAAACCAACACTTAGTCACACGAGTTAACTTGATGCCGAACAGGCAAGTTCCGAGACGCAGTTCCGAAGAAGAAGATACGATCACTGGAATAAAAATTTCATTGGCCTGACGTTTCTGATTCTCACGTGAATCCATCATCAGAGACAGACCCCAATGAGGGAAGTGGGGGCTCAAATAGTGCAGTATTTGTATTCAGTAGCTGCCGTGGGACCACATGCGTACTATAATTAACAGCTCTCTCAATTATCACCAGGGGGAGGTCGCGGTTAATGCGATGACGGCTCGTTACCCCGTGTCCGAGTCGTTAATTGCCACCATTTCATCATCCGTGCACTCTTTGTGCCTCCACTACCCTTACCTGCGACTATCTCTGAAGATGAGTCCGAGTGAAAATCCGAAACGTCAGGCCAATAAACTTCGGAAAATAGCGGCTGCTGCTTAACTAATTCACCAGCTTTTAACCCCCTGTTTTAGTGGCGGACGTATGTATTCCATCTAGCATTATCTTGAGTATTTTTTTTTACTACTTGATTGCTCTTCATGGCGAACTTCTTTTAAAAACCGAGTTTTCCTCTTAGTAGAGGATTAGCGTGGGCTGTGCAAACAATGAAGCGGCTTCTCGGGGCGGTATAAGTCAGCGAATGTCATCCTGCCGACGAAGGGCCGACCAAAAACTCTGCAGAACAACACCTTCTCTGACAAATGCAGTCGACGGTTCTCCATCGTTTTCACTTACTTCGTGCCTGCACTTAATCCTTACCTAAACGTCTCGTTCCAGTGATCGCAACGTCTTCTTTTACTTCTGAATCCCCGCCACTTCAAACATAAACGAAACACAGACTGACAAAATTCACGCCCGCTCCCCTGAAAGGTGGTAATCACCTGATGGAGGGCAGGAACAACAATTTGTGAGGGGAGGTCGCAAAGAAAGGAGGAGGGGTAGTATGAGGGGGAGAACTAGTTTGGGAATTATGCACAATGAGATAGAACACCTCCGTACCTGGTTGGAGGCTGAGGAGCCTTAAGCAGAGACCTCCGAGCAGGGAGAGGTGGGCACGCAGGAGACACTCGTGGATCACGCAAGCGCTGGGACCTAGAGCGGCGGAGGAGAAGACTGGAAAGACTCCGGGGCACAACAACGGCAACGTCAAACAACCAAGGTAAACACATATGAGTTCCAGAAAAGGAAAAAAACTCGCCTTGTTAGAAGCCACACTGTCTGAGCGCCATCGGTCAGATCTAAATTCCCAATGACAATAAGTCGAGCATCTTCGTTCAGACGCATAACGGTCGGCGGTGGACAGCTGGCATGGTTCACAAACTAAACGGCTAGATCGCAGTTGGTTGCCAGGCCCCGTATTACAGGGGTTTTTTGTGGGGCTACATAATCAAACCTGACCCATTTGGCTTCTGTTTTACGTTTGAAGTTAGGATTAGGGTACCGGTTAGTGGTGTCCGATTTTCGGCTTAGGGTTATACTCTCTAGGCTTAGGTTTTCGGGGAACGGTTAAGGTTTGAGAGTGCGATTAGGTTTCAGTATTACGGCTAGGTTTTTCAGTTACGGCTATGTCTAAGGGCTACGGTTACGTTTACGATTTTGGTTAGGGTTAAGGCTTCCATTAGGATTAACGGTTAACGTTTAGGGTTAAGGTTAGGGTTTAGGTTAGGATCAGGGTTAAGTTAGCCGTCCGCTCCCCATTCCTGGCTACCAACTGCGGTCTAGCCAAATAAACTTAACACACTGGAGTGACGTAAGTAGACCCCTTTACAATGCCGCTTTGATGAATTCGACAGGTTGGTCACAGTAATCAGTGGTGCCGTTCACAAACACAGCAGAGATAACACGGCTTTTGATATTACTGCTTGATAAGACCCCCATTTCGCTTGCGGGCATGCACGGAAGAAACGCAGGCATGAGTTGACAACCCCGAAGTGAAAATGAAAACGGGGCAATATTCCCCCCAACGTCAACGGTGGACAGCTTGGAATCTGAATGGCGTGGGTCACAAACTATACGTGTCGGAATGCCGTAAGAGGAACTCGTTGCCTAGCCCACAGTCACCTTGACAGTCAGTCGGTAGTCGTAAACACAGCATTGATAATGAGGTTCTATTTCGTCTTAAGAATATACGGGAGAAACCTTGGCATGTGTTGGTGACCTGGAGGTGAAGAGGAAAATAGGACGTCCTCCTTCATCCTCCTTCATACTTGCAACGCAGTAACTGCTTCTAATTGCCCGGAACGTCAGGCAACCTCTACGTGGGAATTGGTGGGCCGCCAGATGACTCAGGTGAAGCCGAATAAATACCGACGCGCGCAGACGTCAAAGGTAATGGCTACCAGGTTAACGTGTGGCGAATACACAAAGTAGTCAATCGATACCGCCGCCAAACCAGACGGGCGAATAGGTTATTCAGCTAAATATAGTTTCTTTATGCTATTGTCCTCGAGGGAAATTTGCAGACACCCAACAACTATTTCACTCAGCCAAAATTTGATGGAGACCATCAAACGTGTCTTCATGGATCACCGGGTGGCTTCTCTGAGTGTAGGTACCATTATTCTCACAGATTACAGTTTGAGTCCATACTGTTCTAGGTGCCGACACGGCTGGTGCACACAAACCACTGAAAAAGTAACTTACCCCTAACGAATCAACGGATAAATGCGGTGTTCCCAGCGAGGACTAAAGGAAACACTTTGGCCCTATCTGGGGCTCCATGGGGACACTTCCCCATCGCTTCACAGCCCGACTGACTCTGTCACTTGCCAAACACAGTTTGCCACACCTTTACCCCGCGCCTCCAAGGATTTCTTCGCACCTTGGACTGTTGCGAGGGCCTTGGATCTTCCCAAGGCGAGGTGTAAGGGCGAACGGCGAGGCGAAGCAGAAGACATCTGCATTGGACGGCTCGGAAGCCCACTAATTATTCACGAGCTGAGAACTTTATACATCCGCAGTCAGCTAATCCTACCGCAATCAAAACCTCTTGTCCGTTGCCTGCTTGTCCATTGGCATTTCGGAAGCCTACTTTGAGGGTGGTGAAAGTTCTACATACGCGTCAAACAACCCGCAACTTGGCCAACTGAAAACTAATCAACGTTAACGTCGGAGGAAGAGATTTAGTGAAAGGCAGGCAAACGCATACAACTCCTTTGTGGACAGAATGTTATTACCGACAGAGACAAGGGAGACTAGAATAGCCATTTCAGGCTTATTAGCCGTCGTCAGCTAGTCATACTGAACCCCGGGGTGGGGAACACCTGGGGCTCGAAATCGCGACCTATTAGACAGAAGTCCAATGCCTCTAACCACTGAGCCACGGTCCCGTCGTCCTGTCAGTTTCGATCGGGAGTGTACAATGGTAGAGAGGCGCTCGCCGAACGTTCCTACAGAACTAACTCGTTCCGTTGTGCCTTACGGGCTCTCAAGCCCAACCAGCAGCCGCACAGCGGCGCATGATATATGCAGAATGTTATTACCGAAAAAGACAAGGGAGACTGGAATGGCCATCTCTGGCTTATTAGCCGTCGTCAGCCAGTCATACCCAGGACAACGACCTCGTGGCATGGACTTCTAACTAACAGGTCGCGAGTTCGAGCCCCAGGTGTTCCCCACCCCGGGGTTCAGTATGACTGACTGACGACGGCTAATAAGCCAGAAATGGCCACTCTAGTCTCCCTAGTCCTATATCATGCGTCGCCGCCCATAAGGAACGAGTGAGTTCCGTAAGAACGATCGGTGAGAACGCCTTCGTGGTTGTCAGAGGCTTTGGTCGTCATAAAGGCGCAACCTATAGGATCAGAGAATTGGTCCGTCTGCCTAGTACAGAACATCATTTAAAAACACGGTCACTGGCCGACAGGGAATTTTCTACAACCGAAACGAAAATAAGCAAGAGTCTTGAAGCATAAGAGTGCGCACTGAACGCATCTCGGGTTCGAATACACGCGCCACTAAACTTGGTCTTCCGGTGGTCCTGTTGTGCACGGGGTTTGGTGTAAGATCATGGGGCTAATTGAGCGAATTAGAAATCGGTTAGGACTTCGTGGTCTGGAAGATCGAAAATAAGGATTCACTAGGTCCACTTTCTTTGGAGCAAAAAAATACCGCCGTTCAGTAGACGAAGATGCGATCATTGGAACAAGAAATTTATTGGCCTGACGTTTCGGATTCTCACTCGAATCCATCATCAAAGACAGTTTATCTGCGACTGTCTCTGGTGATGGATTCGAGTGAGAATTCGAACCGTTTTTTTCCAGTGATCGCGTCTTCGTCTTCTAAACTGCTACCTGGAACTCGGCTGTTGGCTTCTATCAGCAAATACCGCCGTGCATGAAGGACGATAACTGCTTCCTGACATTGTGCTAATCTAGTCAGGAATAGGGGGCTGAGGGCAGAATGGAGTTGCGTGCGAAGTCGATAACATAAGAGCGCATAGGCTGTAGTGAGATGAACTTCTCCCCAACGAGTTGAATCTAGCTGAAATGGCACAATCTGATAAGTTCTTTAAATGCTCCAAGAAGCCGCAGCTTGTCTTAGTTTACGAGATTGAAAATATGGATGGTGGGTCGCATAAGGAAGACAAGAGATTCCATGAGGGCATAGAGAATGAGGGTGGCTGCTTTTCCAAACATAATTTCCAAAGTACCTCTCGCTGCCTCCGAGTAGAAGGCAATAGAATTGTCCGTAAGAGGGCAAATGAGTTGCTGTACGAGCGGAAAGGAGAGCATCACGTCAAAGCCGCTGAGGACAGAGGAGAGGAGGCGAGCCCATTGGCAGCTGGCGTCATGCAGCCTGACGGCGGAGGAGCCAATCTCTTCGCAGGACGGCCACAGACGGCAGATGCTGAAGCAAATGGACTGGAGCAGAAGAACTAGCTCCACTAGGGTCTCGCAGAGATGAGGCACTCGCAGGAGCTTCAAAATATCCGGGAAGCACTAAGGACGTACGAGGGGAGGAGAAAAGAGAAGAATGAATGTATGCAGGCCAAAAAAGTGCGGCAACTGAGTCCTTGTTGCAGTAGCGATTCTGTTGAGACATCGACTACTTACTTGTACTTGATACGACTGCGATCACGCCTGATCTAGCCGGCCTCGATGATGTCACGAATTGTACCTCCCACGCGCGACGATCCGCGACAGCAGATCTGGACACCTCAACCCATTCCCTTCGCCAACTACGTAGACCGAATACCGAAGGTCCAAGAACCACCTCCATGTCTTGACAAACTGTCGAGCCACGTTTTGAACTGACTTCCTCTTCGACGTCTCCAATGAGGCAACGGTGCCGGATCGAGGGCAGTAACACTGAGCTGCTGAGGCACACGACGAAGAACATGCCCAAACCACCTCAGTCGTCTTTCTTGGATGGCCTGTGTTATCCATGCGATGTTGTCGCAGCGAGCGCGGACTGTCTCATTTGAGACGAAGTCGGTGAACTTCACTCAAAGGATGACCCTCAAGAGGTGGCGGTCAAATACCTCTATTTTTTGCTTGTCCTCCACGCGAAAAGCCCAGCATTCATAACCGTAGTGAAGGACAGACCGGACAGATGCACGGTACACGCGAATCTTAGTGGCGATGGAGAGGTCACGTCGGATCCATAGGCATTTTCGAAGGCTTGAAAAAACCCAACAGGCAGCATCGATTCGGTAGACTACGTCGTCCTTACTCTGTCCATTAGGCAGCAGTCTCGTCCCGAGGTATTTAAAGCTGTCTACTTCTTCAAATTGACAGCCATGAATCCCGAGGGGTGCCTTCTGCTGGTCAGGGATGAAGCTTGAAAACGTTTTAGTCTTCCCAGCTTTTATGCATAAACCGACCAATTTAGCGACCTCGTTCACCCTTGACCACCATGGACTGCAGATCACCAAAACTTGAAGCAAGTAAGGCGATATCATCGGCATAGTCGATATCGGTCAGTCGGTGTCCGGGTGCAAACTCAACGCCGTCACCCTCGCGTAGGGCCCTCCCGACTACCAACGAAAACTAATCCATGACAATTTGACCGTCGAAAGAGACGGCGGTGTCTCACGAAGGGAACGTGGCACCGATAACTTGCACGTGAATTAGTTCCTAGTGCATCTGACCTGTGCAGTATATATCAATCTCACCCAGGAAGCTCCGACGGCAAGAAAATATCAAGGCGACCGGAGGTGACGCGTTCGAAGTGTTTGAATAACGATACAGTCCGTCTACATGCAGCAAACATGACGCGGTCGGAAGGGGTAAGGAACTCACATCCGTTAGGCCCATGAGGGCCATATAAAAAGGTTGCTATTGTAGCCTGATTACCAGTCTCAAAGTCACTCTACAACACTGCCATAAGGTCCGAGTTATTCAGTCAGCTGACGATCTTCCGAGTCAGGACAATTTTCCAAGTCACAAAGGACATTTAAGTCAGATGGCTGATTTACATGGGACATTGACACCACTTGTGAGAAGCTTGACATATGATGGAGGGGGATGTTTTGGTTGTTTTAGGCTACAGGCGAAGTTTGGCACCGACTAAAATATGTCATATGCATATGCTATGTCACATAGGCATACCTGATACGTCTTCTGGCAAGGGTTACACCTGTTCACACGTTACGTAGCAGACATTGTCCGATCTCGTTAACGAACGGGGAGAAATTCCCGCAGGTCACAACCACATCCCATGTAGGGGGGGGGGTGAGGGAGGCTCAACAACAGAGGAGCTAGATACGAGGAGGGGGGTAACTCCCGAACAGATGAGGAGTGAATTTCAACAGGGTGTCTGGGCGACGGACGCGGTCAGTTTGACCCTGGCACACATGTCACAGACAACAGTGACGTTGGAGGCAGTGGACTTGGGTTCCCGGCAATCGCACACGGTAAGGCATACGCGTCAGTATCAGTGAGAACACACACATGCACGCGGCAGTTCGACCCTCGTTTGCAACGATGTCCCCAGTGTGCTCAAGAGCAGGGTGATAGGGCAGGTACAGTGAGTTGGCTCATGGTGATAGTAGTATTGCGCAGCATCTACCACACTATCTCCTCTCCCCCCCCCCCCCCACCTGGACCCGCCGTCATGACAGGCAAAAAGACCGGAGGCGGGATAGGACGCAAGCGGCCGACGCTTTATTCGCCTGACGTTTCGGATTATCGCTCGAACTCATTACCAGAGGCAGTGACAGAAACGGGTGATTCATGCACGGGAATTTGTAGTATTTATGGGAGACAGTCGCTACCTATGATAGTTAACTGCTCTCCCTTTCATCGAGAATTGTTGTCCGCTGGTGCGCTAATTGCCTCATGGCCGGCATGCATGTTGTTAATTGCTGAAATCTCAGCAGCCGTGTTGGATGCTGGCGTGATGATTGCTCGGTCTGCGCGTTCCCCGGTCAGCCGGCATTGTGCCTTCGGCGGCTCTCCAGAGTTCGCTCAATTTGAACTCCCACCCCCGGGTCGTTAAGTGATCTGGTTTGGCTAAGGTGGGTCGAGGAACACACATTTTGGCATAGGCCGTATCACTCAATCGCCGTTGCATGGCAGACTCCCACTTCCACCTGCCATTGCTTCACTCAGGCTCCTTTTATGAATGACAGGCAGATTGTCAAAGTCTTCTTCATTTAAGTTCGATGAGGCCGGAATTCTCGCAAGGGGTGATGATCGCGAGGCGCGAGTTGCTTGAGTCATGGTTCACGGGACTCTGGTCTATCAAAAAATGCAACGACATCGCCACTTCATATTCAGTGTTGAGGCATAGTCTGGACAAAGTAACTGGCCACTCGGAATGCGCGCAAGCCGGTGGGCCAGATGGCCGAGCAATCACTACGCCAGCATCCAACACGGGTGATGAGATATCAGCGATTCACAACTTGCACGCCGGCCATCAAACAATTAGCGCACCAGCGGGCAACAATTCTCGATAAAGGGGAGAGCGGTTAATTATCATAGGTATGCGGTAGTAGCATAGCGACTGCATCCTATAAATACTGCAAATTCCTGGGCACGAATCACCCGTTCCTGTCACTGTCTCTGATGCTGGGTTCGAGCGTGAATCCAAAAAGTCGGACGAATAAAGCTCTTTTTCCAGCGATCGCTCCTACCTCTTCTACTACACTCTCTCCCCCTCCCACATCTGAGCCGGATGTCGCAACGAAGTCAAGAAGTCTAGAGTTGGGAGAGGACGCTGGTGGATGGCAAGGCGAATGAGCGCGCACCAGATAGTTCGAGCGTCGTTTCCGACGATGTCCACCGTGTGCTCGACAACGAGCTGAGCTAAGTCCGCACCAAAGTGTACCATCATGCCCTCTGGTTCACAAACTCACACAGACCAGGATTGTAAACACCAAGAAAGGAGAATAGAGGAATAGTGGGAGTGTCACAGAGGCCACAGGAGCCAGATTGACGCGTCAAGAGCCTGTAGCAACAAACAAAAAGGGCGACGGTTCATGCGACCGGGCCGCCCAAACAGTGGGGGTGCCACAGAGGCCACATTAGGAAGGAGCCATTGCAACCTGACTCTCAGACCACCAGTCAGCCGCCCCACACATATACAGGGCTGAATGCGAGGTGCGAGTTACCCGTCAGGATTTGCTGAAATCGCGGCACATACTCGCACGAGGGCTGCCGCCACCACTAGTCTACCATCCCGCCTCCCTCCCGGATAGCGTGAACAGGCGTCACCTCTGCAGAACAAACAAGACATGAGGCAGAGAGGCATGTGGATAGAAATCTACCTTAGCGAAGGAGGCAAAGCGCTCGATGGCGACCAGAGAGACGGTGAGTTGACGTTCCAGTGCCTCACACAGACGGCTGTCCGAATGACGGGTGACAGCCAGCCAGGCGAGAACGGCGGTGTCCACGGTGGCAGCTGCGATCACCGCCAGAGCCACCGGGAGACGCAGAGTCAGTCCCGCGGATTCCTGCTGCAGAAAGAGGATGTGTCAGAAATTTCAACATAATTTTCCGTGGGAAGGAGTGTTCACGGAGAGATCACATTCATCGAGCAAAGTATTTTGACGAATGGATGTATAAGATGACTGATCGAGCACTGAAACAGTCTGCTTGTTATTCGAACTCATGTGGAAGTCCATCGTCAGAGATATTAGCAACAACAGAACGAGTGACAATCATAGGACGTGCAAGCACGTCTTGTGCGATAGATCGATGATTGGCTAGCACGCCCTAAAATGGTCGATCATTCTGTTGTTGCTACTATCTCTGAGGATAGACTCCTACACGAGTTTGAGAGCCCAGAACAATAAACAAGTTATTCCATTGCTCGACTAATCTCCTTCTTTACTTAAGGTACATTGACTCATGAAGAAGGTAATGTGGCGTAATAAGCGTAGGTTAATAGAAACAAGTTAGAAAATTTGGGCGGAACGGATTGACCCCGTTCTACTGTAAAGGACAAGGCGGATTCCGCAGTAAATATTCAAATAACTGGGACATTAATCGGTGATGATACACATTATTCACTCTTTAGACTAGTGGTTAAAGTAGCAAAATACCTAATATAACCAAGGAGTTAGTTAATATTTATGTTAGCCGTACATGAACTCGTGGGTCTCATGGAAATCTTTTACCGCACTTGATTTTACATTTTGGAATGCTACTCTACATTTAATCAGATTATGAAAGTTTCAAGACTTTCACGAGACTCCCGGCAGAAACCCCGATGCCACCGCAGCGACCCAAAAGTTCTCAAAGGAGAAGAACAAAAATGAAAAGTGAAAGTGAAATTTCACCATTTCGCATTAAAATAGCTTTGGGGACTCAATTTACAGTGCGTGGGGTTTCAAGATATGATGGAACAGTAGGAATGAGTAGCAATCCAATGCGCTTCGCAACCAGTAAATCGAAAAAAACAGAGAACCGAGACCTCCGGGCATGACAACTAAACGGCACAAAAACAAATAAAATCGGAAAAATCGGAATAGCTCACGGAGCAAGAGCCGTTAAGCGGCAGAAGGCCAAAGGCCTTGTCAATGAGACGGGAGGAGCTCAGATGGCGATGTTTCAGCACCGATGGCATGTCGAAAGGTGGAGACCGTAGCGATGGTGATGGTTGTTGTGAGGATGAATCCGGTGCGTCGAAGCCAGAGGAAGGACTGACAACACCGGGGGTATTCTCACAATCATGAAAGGGACAGTCGCTGGCCTCGAGAGCGGCACCCTGGAGGAGGAGAGTGACACTCTGCGGGAGCGAGAGAATCTGTCCAGCCATCTGGCGGCCTACACTTTCCAGGAATGCTATAGAGTGACGATCGGCTGTCAGAGATCCACACCACAAGTCGTAAAGCGAGAGGGCCTGAAGAGGGAAGGCAAGTGAGAGCACTAGATGGCCAACAGTACGACACTAAAGTAGTTAGGCAAAAATGGTTCTGAATTTCTCTATGCTTCGCTATTCTGAAGTGCCTGAGGTTTACAAGCCCCCCATCCTCGAAGTCCTTATTGATGCTGCGCGTGAAAGAATATGAAGGCCGCAGTTATATGCTGGCGGATCGCTGACCTCGGAGACTCAGCAGCGGAGGGCAGTGCTCAGGCATTTACGGTCTCTGTGCCTGCTGCGCCACAGAAGTCTGCATTGAAGATGCAAACTTGCGGACTCTCGAAACGTCAGGGTGACAAGTAAACGTTTTTCAAGGTCGCTCCTTCTCAAGGACATGCATTTACGTTTTGCTTTCTCATCTCAAACTGCTCACCTCACTCCCTGCATTTCGCACTGTTTAGATTTAATGAACCACTTGGTGAAAAGTCCTATACTATATTTACGCAGGATGGTCGCATGAATGATAAAACCACCGAACATGGCCCGAGAGGTCAGATGAAGCTCCTAGGCAGAAAAGACCATTGGTTAAACAAACGGCCTGTCACATGGATGATCGAAAAGCAGCTTCTGCTTCAAGCGCGCAGAAGGTGTGCGAAAAGGTGGGAGGAAGAGGCGTCAGCGGCCAGAATGACACCTTGAACACCTCGCAGCGCTCGACACTAACACTTCAATTAAGGAGGACTAGGCTTTATTCTCAATCATTTGTAAATAATTCACAGAATGATTCTATAAAACATAAGACAAAGCAGGGACGCGACACTTCACTGGCCAGCTGCTGCCCAGTGCCTTTAATACTGGGAGATACCATGGAGAAGTCCCTGCATTTGGATGCAGTGTTCGCAGGACGACGACTCAGCTGGAAACCCCCCCAAGACAGGACAACTGGCCCATTATGATCGTCAGAATTACTATAGTGACGCAGTACACGTTCGAGTGGCGTTAGTTTCTCATAGCTCTCACATCGCGTGTTACTAACAATTTTGAGTAAGGCTTCGTAGAGGCGAGACCAGACGCAGACGGGAAGTAAGGCCCCACCTGCGCGTCTCACGCACGTGCCTGCTCTTAGACGCACATTGGCGAGACATCAATATCTGGGACCACACTAAGGTGCGATATATCATAAAGATCACAGTAAAAATGAACCATTACGAACTGGCCCTAATTTCTGAGGACGATCGAGTCACCCCGTCTCACTCGTTGGTAGCACAGATTAATTGCGAGATTTGAAAGCGTCAGGTCATTCGTTTGCATAGTCGGTTTGCCAGTTGGAAGAGATTTCGCGACCCCTACCGCCCAAAAAACAGGGCTCGTTTGCTCTTGGACATCAATCAGAGCCCAGCGAACCGATTCCGCTACGAATGACTATCTAGAAAGCTGGGCGACACCAAATGAACCACAGTACTACGTTGGTCGTGACACAGTGGTCCACACTCAGGGTGTGTGTCAGTTTTTCAAGTCATGCTGGTCTGTTGGTTCGGGCGAGATATTACTGAGTGAAGAATGTATTAATGAGCATAGACATTCGTGGATGATATGTCCCTGTCTTAAGATTGCAAAGAGCTTCGGTGAGGATAGGTAGTGTAACCCCACTGGGCTTAGCATGTATAGGTGACTGCTATATTCATTTCAGAAGTCCTTGTTTATTAATCCATAGCTACGGAAAGTTTCTCTTCGCGTTTTGTCTAACACTTTGATATAACCGCATGCACCGAGTTGGTTCGGAATGAGGTTTCAGTGATAAATTATTTGGCAATTGCTTTTGCTCCTCCTCCCCATAACCCCTTTGTCTTACCCTGACTTCCTAGTTATTCTAAAGTACAGTGAGTGACCTATCTCATGAAATGTTGCCTGAAATTCTGAAATGCGTTTTCGATTAGGAAGGATTACTTGGTCGCGGTTGTAATACTGCTTATCTTGCGACATACTCTTATAACATTTCAGACTTGGCAGGATGTCGGCTTTTAAATGTACTTCTTTTCAATCTCCTGTAGAAAGCCTGCTCGGTAAAAAATGACTACTTAAGTAGCATGCATTTTTCCAATTGATTTTCGATGGTCTTGGAAATTCAAATATATTTTATAGAAACCATAAACAAAAATATGCTTTCTTTTAGTCAATCAATAGAGAATCACGCCTTCTTTATATTTTATATTTAAGGAAAGAGTATAATTAGGTTTTAAAAAAGTTTCTAATTATGAAACTTTTTAAGACCGCGCTATGTCCATTCACATAGCATCGTACCTGGCCGTTTACCACTGCTCCTCATGAAATGTACAACAGGATCCGCATCCATTGCAAATTTTTATGGGCTCTGTATGATATCTCTTTAATTTCATAGAAAAATATGTGATTCTCTTTACGCGGAACGCATGCACCTTGTAGATTGAGATCACTAAACGCTAATGCAGCGAATGATCCAGCTCCAAATTATTCGGCTGAAGTGGTTAGAGTGTTGGCTGTACTAAAGCCTTCTCCTTACTACGTGGGTTCGAATCCCACCGAGGCGCCGAGTTTTTCACAGTTGGGTCAATATGACTTACCTATTTCTTCCGGAAGAGTAGTTAAATCTTTATGTGCCATGTCGGTACCTACCATACTATGCGTGCTGCATGGATCACCGGCTACGTTCGGGTTTGCTTTGCTTCGGTTGAAACGCAAACGCTCTGTTTCCTTGATACCTCTTAACGGTTTCTGTTGTCAAACGCGTAAGCTTGACTTATTTATTTCTTTGAAATTACTTGTGAATAGTCCCTCACATGGATAATAATAAGACAGTTAAATTTAGTTGAGAAGTGGGGTAACACCACCTGTCGTTGCCAAAGTTTCATTCAAATAAGTAGGCAGTGCAGGTGAGAGCATGACTTCGTTGTTTAAGTCTTGCTTTGACGGCAAAGAGTGCCCGACAACAGGTGCTCACCTTATGCCAACCCACGCTCTTCTCCCTCCTCCTACATCGGGACTTTCAGCCTAACCTCACCTGGCTGTATTGCATGCTGAATTCCGCGACGTTTGGAAACTCTGTTACATCCCTCTATCACTCAGTGATCGGAATAAACTCTACGGATCTCCCGCCCATTGGCTATGCAACCATACTGCATAATAATGTAACGAGTCTGACACTGATTAAGAGAAGATGCATGTTTACCGAAACTGACTTCTCCTGCCATTGTCCATCATGATGTCTAGCTTACATCCTCGCTAAATGATGAAATCGGCTAAGGCATAGGGATGAATTAAAAGTTTGTAAAGAGCGTGCCCAAAGAGGCCAGCGCGGTAGTCGCAGCATGAAAATGATTCACTGGTTGTTGGCTCCGCGAACGATCAGTGATGACGGATTCTTAATTAATCTCCCGGCATCACGGAAACGATAATCAGTACGAACGACCGCAGAAGTCGAAAAAAAGTTAGAAGGCAATCAGCCACAACCTATACTTTCTCGTGTGTGTATAAGACAGTGGGCCTAGGGTCTGAATGCGTCTGCTATGCCACGACTCAGCAAACCAAGGTCCTCGCAGCCTGGTGCACGCGGGTAGCTCTCTGGCACCTGATTCCCTGCCGGTAAGTGCGCTTCCGCTCCCGCTGGGCATAAAGATCGTGAGTAGGGACGCCCAGTCATCCTCGCCGTCTTTCTGACCCGTTGTGGTGCTGTTGTTGCAGGCTAAAATCCTGGTCGAATGTATGTTGTGGACCAGGGGGTGTGAAGTGGAGCGTCAAGGTGCAGGTTCGGCCGTGCCAGCTACCTGCGCCCACTCCCCCCTTCGGTCTCAACACCAGGCTCAGGTGGGGAAAAGAGATTGTGGTAAATGCAGCACAAGTTCACCCTCACGCGCAAGTCACTGTGTCTACCTCACGGAGCGCACGGTGGACATCGTCAGACAGGACGATCGAATTGTCGTATACGATGGTAGCTCAAACGACGCTATTGCAAAGTATGGGTAGTTATGTGACACAGACAACACCAAGCACGGATAAAAATCGCGCCGCGGTGACACGTCCAGAGTTTCCCTCAACCACTGCATCAAATTATTTCTCCTAGCAATCCAGAAATCGAGGTGTTACCGCGGTAATGCCGCTGGCGGCGGAGTTGGGAAATTTACTAAAAGAAGGAATCGGTTCAGATGGCGATATCATAAGGTACCGGTGGTGAAGCCGGGTACCTCAGTGCCGTTACGCTTAAAGGCACGCATATCAGAACGGACATGCTATAGTGCATTAAAAACCATTTCGTAAATGTCTACAGGAGGCTGACTTACGCATTCCCGAAAACGACAACAAGGATGCCCAGCCAGGTGGTAGATAAACCAAATCGGTGGTGCCAACTGAGCCTGCTGGTCCAAATCCACTTCGAGGGCAGGGGTACGACCAGCGATCTTCAAATGCGAGGACCAAAACGCCTCTAAGGCGGATAACAGGGCGTCCGATAAGAGCCGGTTTTGCTTCAGACTCAGCGGTGTGTCGGAGTCGGGAGGGACGGCGGCGGCGACGGTGGCAGGCGACTCGATGAGTGCGGGATTTATCCTCGTGGGACCGGTTGGTTTACTGCGCAGTGGCAGAGCATCTGCGTCTTTGGAATCAGCTTCCGCATCTGCGAGATGAAAGAAATGAGCAGGAGAGTTTCGGTGAAAATAAAAGAATGGCGCTGTAGGTATGAGCTTGACATAAGTTGTTAAAGCGATAGCTGCTGTTAAATTTTTAAAGTGCATATAAGAACCTGGTCCATGAAGTCAATTCAACTCACACGTTCTACCGGCCTGATTCTTTTTCATGCCTCAAAAAGTGTGAAACTTCGTCTATTTCTAAAAGCGGACGAGATGCGACGGCTCATAAACAGGACGATAAAAAAAAACCTCACATAATAGGCTGGAGATGAGTTCAGCGCCGTTAACACGACAACTAAGTCCGGACTACTAATATCATGAAGGTAATGCGTAAAATACCACCAAATGGGATCTCAGCTCCTGAGCTACGGAGAAGAGTAGATACTATACTCCACAGTAAAGGCATTGCCTTCAACGAAAATTGGCAAGCTAACTAAAGATTAGGAAGGACGCTTGGGAAACCAACACGAAGGAGAAAGCAGATTCCGGGCGACGAGCAGCCTTGTATTTCAGGAGGTGGACTCGGTGCTGCTTGTGCAACTGTGGTAATATTATATTCAGAGAATTGACGCATAACGAAGTCAGCAAGGATGGAATGTGTAAGTCTGTATTTCGATTACCATAACGGGTCTACTTATTTGATTTCGGTAGGTCCGTTGTATTGCGGTTGCGTTTGTAAGCCGGGGAAAATGGTTAGATTTAGGACTAGGAATAAGGTTAGGTGGATTAAAAATAGGGTTCAGGGTTAAAGTTGGATTTGAACTTGTCTGCCACACACCGTCTGACCCAATTCGGCGTTCTTCAACCAAGAACCTTTAATAACCTGTTTTCCGCCCGTTTACGCGACTCTAGATCGCATCGTTTAAATTTCGAAGTCTGTTCTGGCGCATCATTGGAGTAATAAAACACACATTCGGCAAAAAGGCGGGTTCCCTCAATACTTTCTGAAGATAGCGTTAATTGCCGTGTCCGTCTGCAGTATGGGTAAAACTCTTATAGACACATTTCCCATGTTTCGGGAGTCCCTGTGCGCTGTTTCCTCAATCGACTTACATATTCAACCCTTACAATGAGGTAAACGAATGTAGTATGGTAAGCAGCGATCAAACTTTCAGTTCCTTTGTCCTCGCTGGCATGTGCGGGAGGGCAAAGGTCATTTCAACCAGCCGTGGACGTGTTTGTGGAGTTGTACACGCGCGGGCCACAGCTAAGGTTTACGCATGTGGAGAAACTTATGGTAATAATGAAAAAAGACACAGTTAGAGAGGTTTTGTAAGCTCTTAAGACAAAGCTAAGATAGGGAAGAAAAACAAAAACTGTTCTCAGTCTATGGTGGCGTCTATACACTATCTGCAGGATCTACCTGTCAACAACGCACATTTTAGTCCATCAACTACCGCTCCTAAGATGTACTATGCTGACGCCTACCTAATCCTTCGTGTACTTAGGCGTTCGCGATACATTTATGGAGCATTGTGCTTGCAGTGCTCGCGGTAAGGACCAACTGGGTGATTTTTCAAACATTCACTTACTTATCATATCCAGGTAGGTGTGGTCTGGCCCCCAAGCACAACAGGACGAGTGTGTTCCGTAGCGCGATCGGTGAGCGTCCCCTCTATCATTGTGAATATACCCGATCGAAACAAACAAGACAGCGAGTCCGTGGCTCAGTGGTTAAGACGTTGGACTTCTAACCCACACGCTGCGGGATCGAGCCGCAGGTGTTCCACACTTCGGGAGTGGGTATGACTGACTGACGACGGCTAATAAACCAGAAATGGGCACTCCAGTTTCCCCTATCTTTGTCGGTCATACTATTCTGTGGTTCGTAACGGTTTACCTGGCAAAAGCTCGGTGAAGGGGTCATTCGGTACGCGGATTTTGATCTTCACTAACGCTTTCGATGTCAAAATTGCTCGGATCGAGCTCAAGGTTAGGGATACTGCTGCAGTTAGGATAGGCATTAAGAATTGGGTTATTCCTAGGGCTGAGGTTGTCGGACCCGGGATATGGTCTGAATTCGCGGTTGAGGCAAGGGTTGGGGTCTAAAATTAGGGTTAGGAATTTATGCCAGGGTTTTGGGGTTTGAATCAGGAATTTGAGGCCTAGGGTTAAGGTTGCGGTTACGCTCGAGTTTTCCTTAAATGCTTACGCGTTAAGGGTTAGGGTCACCCATTACAGACATGGTCATGATTGCCGTTAGGGCCATAGCTAACGATGATTTTCCCAAGGGGTTACATAACATATCCTTGCCCTACTTACAATAAACTGAATTATAAAATGCCCACTACGAGATGTAAAAAGGAGACAGCGAACCTGGCTGAAGGGGCGACTGTTCCGGCTGAGTTGACCCATGGTCAACGGAGTCCTCTTCAACACACAGATCGAGCCGTGGCAGGCTACGACAACGCGGGAACGAGGAGTCGTCGGCTGGAGAGGCGCGACGGAGCAGAAGGACGTTGTCGTCATGGCAGACCGCGGTAATCAGACTATGGCAGGAGCCAGAACGTCCGCTGAGCGCGAAGAGATTGTTGACAGACAGATGGCAGGGTGCCAGATTGGACTGATGGGCTGAAGTGAGCAGACTTGTCACTCCACCCCCAGACGTCTCGCTCTCCGTGCCGCTTCGAAGTTCGGCCTGAAACTTGGCTATAGCGGTCTCCTCCGCCTTGCTTGCTCCCTCTAAGCTGAGAGCCGGTTCCAGTCTCAGCCAGTCAGTGACAATTCGGGGCTTCTGTGCTCCGGCTGTCGGGCTGGCCGTCTGCTCTGCCTTCACTTCGTGCAATTCCGAAGAATTTTGACCAGCACCCTGCGTCTCTACTGCTTCCACACCGTCTTCCGGGGGTCGAACACAATTACCTTTCTCTGATGGATCAGCTAAAACACAGAGTAGGTTGAAGGCGATGAAAAGGACTTCTGGATGCACAGAGTTATCAAGTCGGAAATAGAAAAAAGCATAAACTCACGTGCTGGTGTTGAGCCCACCGATCCAACCGGCGCAGAATTACGACGACGAGAGGGGAGCAGAGCAAGCACGGACGAGGCGATGGTCTGAGCAAGCGTAGCGAGATCCGACGGGCAGCAGTGGTCGGATGGGGAGTTGTTGAGGAGTGTAGAGCGTCGCTGAAGGGTGCCTGCGGTTGACAGACCGGCCCCAAAGGCACGACTGAAGGCTGAGTAGTAGAGGTCTGGGTCGACAGCAACCAGTGTGCGTTGCAGGCATTCCACAGTCTCGGCGAGTTCTGACATAGCTGCGAGACGCAGACGGTGTGAGAAGAGTCTGGCAAGTGCCTCCAGCCAGGTAACACTCAACCGACTGTTGTCAGCAGAGATCGTCCCGCAGTTAGCAAAGTGGATCTGTAAAACAACGGCCGTGAAGTCGTGAGCGAAAGCAGCCCAGGAGGCGAAAAAGGAGCATAAGTGTCCACAACTGACACGACAGAGGTAAGTAGTGCAGCTGTGTGTTGCGACAGGCCACGTCGCCCTCCGCCATAGCGATGAAATCGGGTACCAAGACACAGAACCAATCTACGATCTTCAAGAACTATGTCAAGGTAGGCCTGACCGTGTTTGCCTCTGTAGGGTGTCGCGTTCGAAGCAGAAGTAGCAGCGACAAGCTTCCGAGGCTAACGGAAGAGAATGCGCTAAAACAGCTTCGGCTCTTTTTACCCGGTGGTCATTTCGAGTTTTTAGTTCGGGGGTGAGCTTTCCGACGGGCAGAAGGGGGGCATAAATGCCGCCGACTTCTGCACTGCGCACCGATCTCGTTGCTGGAATATTGGGTAATCAGACTCGTGCAGCGTTATTGTTAACAGTTATTCCCACTAAACAAACGACAATTGCCGAATGGAGACGATTTTGCCCGAATCAAGTGCACTGGAATCCAACAGGCACCTGAAAAGTGCACCATTGTCAAAGCTGGCTGGACCTTCGTGATATTTTGTCCTGCAATCGATGAAGCTCAAGGTGTGGCCCGTTACTTTGCTCACCATGAGACGGCAGTAAGCGAACTAACAGGCAAAAGGGAGACCAGAACGGCCTCTCCGGCCACTATGCCCTCACTGGCCAGTCAAACAAACAGTCGGGTAGAGGCCGGGAAGACATGGCCGGTGAATTCAAGTGCGACTAGCTAAATACCGCCGCAATTCCACTGAACTGCGGGTCAACACTTCGTCCGAGAGACCAGGACTAAACCTACTTCTGCCGCGTCCAGTGGGCGCATGAGCAAACAAGTCATTTAAGCTCGGTGAGGCTACGCCAAGTACTATCAAACATAGAAAAGGGGTGTTTTTCTCGGTCTAGCCCGCAGTCATCAGCGTGAATCATGTCTTCCGAACAGGCAAACCCTCAGGCAAGGGCTCCCTGAGTCTCCGAGGTCAATAAGGGTTGGATGATTGTAAAAAATCACAGAAATCATCAAAAATTGATGAATTTCCAGCAAGTTTCAAGTCTTTAAATGTATTTTTTCAACATGTGCACATAGAGTAAAAATAAGCACCCTGACTGTCAGCAGCGAGGAGGGACGACAGTGAATGCCGGTAGATTAATACAGCACTGTTTCGGGCTTATTGTGCCTTCACTCAGCCAATCATAACCCTGACTACCAGCAGCTGGGACCAGAAACACAAACCTGCGCACAGACGCACCTGGCGCAGTTGATCCACCACTGGGGTCTACCAGTCGAACCGAAGTTCATCAGTGCCTCGCCACCTGTCATTCTCTGTCGCTGCAGATCGGGTATTTATTCAATCAGGAATGGGCGCACACCGATCTATTGGATTCACTAAGTAAACAAGCTCCACATGGGTGGCAAAGGTCACAAACAGGCAACCAATTACCAGGCCGAATTCGGCCAAGTCATGATAGCAGCGAGGAGGGACGACACTGACTGTCAGTCTGTCGCCTGGTAAACTTAATGACACTCACGTCGACATCTCTACGGTTTATTGAAATGAAGTTGATATTAGTCAAATAAATCAGCATCTAGTCTCGGCATTTTGAATGCGATGGGAGGCGACTCACCCGAAAACTATTAACAACCGACTCAACAATGCGAAACCGATTCATAGTAGCCACATTGACGGAGAGTAATCTCTGGTGGAGGTTCCCAGACAATCGTGAATTCTCTGTCGACGCGGTTAACTCGCCGACGGAGAGGGAGGAGGCGAGACGGTTAATCAGTAAGGGCATCAAATGAGCGGATGCTTCGACTGCGGTGGAAGACGAGACCAGAGTGGTTGGCGGGAAGAAAAGCAGACACTTCAGGAGATCCGGATCACAGAGGAGGTAGCTGCCTACGGGTTCGGGACAGGGCTGCAGCCTGAGGAAGACATGCCCCAGGAGGACCTGTAAATAAGGTGGTGGGGAACGAGCAGAAAATGATGACGAAGAGCTCTCTCTCTCTCTCTCTGTCTTACCACTGTATAATTAAATAATATAATAGAATAAGTGAAGATTCGAGCACCGGAACACTGTGTTTATTGTTCTGGTCTTTCAGACTCGTACAGGAGTCCATCGTCAGAGGTAGTGGCAGAAACAAGATAGGCGGCAGTTATAAGGCACGTAGGCCCAATCATCGACCGATGGCGCAAGACTGGAGGTGAGTACGCAGGGTTCTGTACGCTGGCACCATATCAATAAATCGATTGACCGAGTTCTCATCCGAGGCCCAGGCTTCAATCAATTCTCGGCCTGTTTTGTTTCCGGCGTGGGCGACTATTTTGGTGGCTGCGAAGTTAAACTCTTGACCCATTTCGTAGGTGTGAGTGGCCACTTGTGATAATGCGTCGCCTCGTCGCACAGCCAGCTTATGTTCGTGTATGCGCTATCCGAGCATGCGTCCAGTCTGTCCTGTGTAGTTACAAGGACAATTTTGACACGGAATGCGATACAATACTCCAGATTGCTCTTCAGGCTTTAGCCGGTCTTTGATTTTCATGGCCCTATTGCACATGGTGGCTTTGGGGCGGTTTGCAATTCCAACACCTAGCTCGCTGCAATGCGCTCGCCTCACTAAGACTTTTTTTTGCCCGGAGAGAAGAAAAAAGCTGGGCGTGTTCATTTTCGGACGACCAACCGACATTTAGTCCGCAAGACGCCGAAAACACGATGACTTCTGGAAATATTCCATAAAGTTGCATTTCGTACACAGGACCCTCAAGATGTCTGAATACCGTAAAAAGGCGCTTAATAAGGATGGCTTCTAATTGCCAGCAGACGCTGTGACAAAATCTTTTGAATTTCATGTGCGGGGAGAAAGATGTGAAAAGTAAGTGCTTTAATTAATTAAACAGTTGGCCTCATGGAATAAAAGTAATCTGAAATCGTTCTAGGGCGGGCCATAATGGCGTGGCGACAGTAAACAAGTTGTCTGAGCGAACACGCATGTTCGATCTTTAATCTTCACGCTTTTAAAATGATATCTACTCTTTCAGCAAAGAAATTGCAAGAGGGGATAAGCAGGCGAGAAATCAAGGAGGGTGGATGGGAAGAGCACGAGGGAAGACCAAGTGCTGCAAGGCGCTGCATAGATGCAGCGAGGAGTTACTCCCAAAGATGGGTCTTGCCTTAAATGAAGCGTAGATGAAGGTCAGTAATGACTCAAAAGAGGGACCGAGGAAGGGGCTCTGACTACTAGTGTATGTGCCTATGCTCCGAGTATACTGTCAACGAGTAAAAGATTCGATCGTTGAAATTGGAAGTTCTTTGGTCTGACGTTTCAGATTCCCAATCGAACCCATCATCAAAGGTAACGGTTATGGGACACAAGGAGTGCAGTACGTAAAAGACGCAGATGCCGGCCACATCTTCAAGAATGACAAGACTGAAAATCCCGAAAGAGGTGACAACCACGCGATCCACAATTTGCTTGACACATGGCTCTCCGGGTAATAGACAAGTAACAAGCGAAGTGACTTCCCACCTAAAATATTCCGCCCCGAGACCTTGCTTGGCCAGAGTAATGAAGCACGCGGGGAGTGCGGGATACCAATAGTTCCGGCAACTGAATCAAATGACCAAGTAATCATCATTCAAGAATCAACAACGGTAGAAAAATCATCATCATTAACAACTCGTGTGCAGACTACCAGGTAGTCCTCGCATCAAATACAAACCGCTCCCGGAGATGAACACGGATGCTTTTAAATAAACTAGGCCTGTGGTGGCATGGCTACGGCGGCCCATAAATATTGCACTCCTTGTGCCCCATCACCCGTACCTGCGACTGTCGCTGATGAAGGGTTCGAGTGCGATCGCGAAGTGGCAGGCCAGCATACTTCTTGTTCCAGGGACCGCATCTTCTTCTTCTTCTGAATTACTCAATCGAACTCGCCTTTTCGCTGCCATACTGCTAAGCTTAACTGCCACTGAGAGGTAGAGAGGGGGGGGGGTAATCAGAGCTTCTTTAACAATGCAGAATACAGAGAGTTCAGGGAACCTCAGCCAGCCGATTTGAGATGACAAACGGTGCCGAGGCAAGTTGGGAAAAGAGGGAGGCGAGAAGGTGACAGCCGAGGCTGCGCAGAATTAGGCGGTCGGCTTCGGGATGGTCGCACTGTTCGGTAGGAGACGCGGGTTTGGACGCGCGGAGCCCGAGCCGGTCAGAAGCCAGAGGTCGGTAGAATTGGACGGCAGCCGAGGCCGAGTGCCGAATCAGGGAGAGCAGAAGGTCAAATGCAGCTGCAATGGTACTGGGAGAACAGGAAGCGACGTCTTCTTTGCATATGAGCTGGAAAATGGAAAAAAACAGTTTGGCTAGGAAATCTGAGGTGCATTGAAAACAAATGTTTTGAGTGAGTCGCCCCCTAGGGAAGTTCGGAAAATACCGAAATATCCGAGGGAAAGGCATTCAGACTACCCTTAACTGCGAGTGAAAGGACCCTAATGATGAACTGTTGCGGGAGTGGAGGCCGAAATATAATTTTGCCTTGCGATCGGTCATTATGTGTGGTTGTAGCCTTATGTAGTGAAGACCTATGGCGAGCATAATTACTTCGTTTCAGCGCTCGGTGGGGTTCTTAAACCATTCCAACCCCCCCCCCCCCCCGATGACAGGATCTTAACAATGGATTCGCAAAATTTCTGAAAAAAGAACAGATTAATGAGAAGAGATTTTCCCTTCAGCTCTGGCAATGCGAAAGAAAACCGTCCTTGAGCCGTAAGAGCTCTATTGCTCAAAGGTCGGAACTAAGCTGAAGTCCAGAGGTAGTGGAAGAAACGGCTGAGACAAATTTGCTGGCCACTCAACGCAAATAAGTACTCTGTTTTACTGATCGTATTCGAAAACAGATATTCACTGTCACTCATTACTGGAAGGTGTGGGGGACTGGTTAGTAATGAGAGCGGGACTCGATAATAAACTGGCTCGGGATTCGAATAGCGTGTGTACAGGCCGGAATTTGGGTATCAATGGCTGATAACGGCATGTGAGGCAGAAATAGTTATTGCAGTGTACCCGTATTCATCGTCAAACATTTTTCGAGGCAGCTTTACCCATCCCTTTCTGGACTGACTTCATTTTAAGGACAGCAGTTTTTTGTTCTCCCGAACCATCCAAACTATGAAAACATCAAACAGGACTTTTTTTCTTTGTAAGCTCGGTCCGTGCTTTATCCTTTTGACAGTGCCTGTAAACTGGCATTAAGTACAGTTATTATTATCATTAGTTGCTCTCCATATCCTGCGATGTGCTGACTGCCATCCCAAATGAATGTCTAGATTGATAATTGTTCAGCGTAGAACGAGCATCTCGGTGCATAGTTTAATCAGCTTTGCTCAGGTCGATATGGTTTGTGCAAACTTCCAGGAGATGGAGGCTAAAGAGTGGGATATCAGCGACTGATCACTCAAACATACCGCGCCGAGAAGGTAGAGTACCGGTTGAATACCGCCCAGGGGACCGAGGGCAGGTTCCAGATCACGTTTCAGGTTTGGACGGAGGTGTGAGGTTGCGTTTTCTGACTGGGTCCCATTACGGATTGCGCAGTCGGTGGGATGGAGGGCAGTAGAGACACCTTCGCGTAGCGGTCGCGTCTCCAACACGGTTTCCAGCATCCTGTAGATGAGCATAGAAAAATGGAAATCACAATGAAACGAAGATAAGTTGAAATATACCTACAGGCCGCCAGAGGACACAGGTATTTCTTCCGGTCGTAGCATGCAGTTAAAATTGAGGTCACAAAGTGGGGTCTCTAGCAGAAACAGCAATATCTCGTCCTACAAAAACCTCCTATGTAAGAATTGAACGGCTAAAACAAGTGCACTGCCGAGCGGTTTACTCGCCTAAGACATATCCCTTTAGAATGGTCTTGTCTCATGCCCCAAGCACAAGAGAGAAGTGATCTTGGGATGGAGCGAGCGCTTTGATCAGCTCTCATGCGGTCACATTTGGTAGGTAAACGTCACCCCAAAATGACCTTGAATACCGTTTTAACGAGCCCATCTCAGTGGTTGAAATAGTAAACCAGAAACTTTCAAAAATCGTAAATTCCCCATTTCATGAAAACACGCTAAGCGGGGGTCGGCGGGCGTAAAAAACATAACGGCATGAAAAATAAATTCGGTTCAAGTCGATGCTGTTTTGTTGCGCGAGAAACTCGTTCTGCCTTCATTGATTTCAATGAAAAAATTGACCCTCACGGGGTATTCTATAAAATCATTCGGGACGTCATTTAGTCATGCGTCGGTTAAATATGCCTATGAGTGTGATTTGTTTTTATTTTTTTATTGCATGTCATAGATGGAATGGATTTTCGTTCTAACAGAACACATCATCCGACAGAAAGCCATAAGAGACGGTTTGCTAGCAGGGAGGAAGAAAAATCCCAGTCGAGGTTTTAGCTGTCGTGACGAATCGAACTATCTGACCGAAGCTGGGGTCGAACAGCTTCTCTGTAAACGCACCGTGGGTGAACATACGGGCGGATCACAGTGATTAACAGATTTACGCGAGTGAAGGTAGCATCGAGAACAAAACTAAAAGAGATAGCATAGCAACTGCAGCCGAAAAGCATAAATCCAAAGAGAATGAGGACTTGTGAAGAAGGAGACACGATCGAGGGGACAAGAGCTTTAGTCGCCTAATGTTTCAGATTCCTGCACGAATCCACCATCGGAGACAATAGCAGATACGGGTGGTTCATGTACAAAGGACTTCAGCATTTATAGGGTGCAGTCGCCATGCTACCGCATACCTATGAATATTCACGGCTCCTCCACTTCAGCAGGGATCGTTGCACTTGGTGTGATTACTGCTTGATGGCCGACATTCGTGTCGTTAACTGCTGCAATTTCATCACGTGTGTTTGATGATGATGATGATGATGATGATGATGAGGAGGAGGAGGAGGAGGAGGAGGAGGAGGAGGAGGATGGGGATGAGGATGATGATGACTGTTGAGTAGTAGAAGAGTAGAAGACCAGAAAAATCCCAAAACGGAACACCCTTAGTTGGGAAGTCTTCTGTGACAGTGACCCGGGGAGGCGGCCGTGCATACTAAATTCGCTTTCACGTATTCAAACTGGTAGGGTTTTTGGTTTCCCAGATATCGATCTAATAGGAGTTATGGATTCTCGATGGCCAACAGCAGAAGAAATGATAACAAGGAGAAACCGAAGTTCTACAAGTTCCAAGAAAGGCGAAATATTTGTGACCCAAAACTACCCAACTTAAATCCCTATGCCGTACATCGTTTCTTATAATTTTCGATTTGGTTATGCCCCGGAATTTAAGTCTTTAGATTTAAATTAAACTCCAAACTAGAGCTCTATTGATTAAGCAGACGCCAAAAACAAATAGAGTCAATGTACACTCAAAATGGATAGGTCTGTTTCAAGTTTTTTTCTTTGTTCTAAGGCAACTGACAGCGCCTGAGCGGGATTTTAATAAGCCTATTCCATTCAGAAATGACACTCCGTGTAATCTGGCAGACCCTAAACAACTGTCTTAAAACTCGAGATTTAGGCTTGCTAACCTCCGTCACGAAACACAGAGTAAAACCTGATCTGACAGTTATTGACCTTGGAACACCCGAACTGAGTTTAGGCAGACATAACAAATGTTTCTGTGCCTAAATATCAAAGACAAAAAAGTCAATAGCTAACGGCAACTGATCGACCTTCTTTTGGGCGAGGAAGTGAGGATGGAGCATCAGTGAGAAACAAGACATAGATGTCTTCTCGATTGTTAAATTCTTGTAACAGGCAGGAGAACAATAGACCGGACGACTATGCAAGTTCAGTGAAACCAATTTTGATATCACTGTAGGGGCAAGGCTCCGAAACGCGGCCGCACTAGCAAATGGGGAAGCCCAGAGGCCTCCAATATGGGAACCACGGTAATACGCGTGATCCTTCGGGAAAACACCGAAAAAGACCAGCCAAAAAGCGTATGTTGGGAAATACGATCTTAAAGACCAACTACAAAAGGAGGTTTTTGGCTGACAAAAGTCACAGAAGATGTTGTGTTAATTTAGAGGTGCGAACGCCCCACGAACACAGTGCCCTTGTTGATGTTCTACAGAAAACTAAAAGGCCACATGCCTACACCGTCAAGAGCATTCGACGGTAAGGTTGGCTCGGAGACACACACGCACCCGCCTAAAGCACGCCTAACCTCTGCCTGCATTGGTTACAGTTAGAGCAGAGGTTATGGTTGGGGCTAAAGTACGAATTTAGTTTGGGGTCAGAGCTAGTGCTAGTGTAGGGTTTATGGTTTGGTGGCAAACTAAAAGCCATGTTTGCTGCTAAATTTAGCGTTAGTGTTGGGATTCAAGGTGGGTTTATGGTATGATACAAATACAAGGGCGGGTGACACTAAGCCGGTCTAAAGGAGTCTAACCAATCTAACAAATACTACGGTTTGTGATTCTGGGTCACTCCAACGAAATTTCACCACCTTGAGAGGGCAGAAAAGTAACAGTGCAAATCACCGCTTAGAGGAAACCTCGTTCTGCTCAAGTTCTTTCAGCCCGCATTTGCTAACCGATTTGATCACGTTAACAGAGCAGAAAAATAGCAGTGAAAATAACTGTCTAAAGGTAGACTACCTCTGTTCGATTTCTTACAGTCCGCATTGGCTACCACCTGTCAGGGGCGGGCACCCTTAAGTTTACGAGATCGAGGTTAGGGTTAAATATTGGGAAATTGGGAACGCATAAATAGCCAGGACCGGATGAGATTATCTGATTACTGCTGGGGAGTTAGATCAGCCGACCACCATTGTATTTCGGTGGTGACACGATGGTGATAAGTCTTCAAACATCTATAAACAGGCAAACTTTATTCCAATTCACGAGGGCCAGCACATGACATAGCGACCATCGCAAACGACGAAGTCCACGAGATTCCACAAGGAGACGGCGCAGAAGCAGTGACTTGAGCGTGAAGTAGTTTATTGAGACAGACTTGCGCGCGCTATCTAACGCACGCTCTCGTACCTCATCAACCTTGTAACGATACCAAAAACAAAGTCAAGACGATGGGAAGTGACTGACAAAGTCAAACGACTCGTTTACGCGTCCCACACGCAGACGGGTCCTTCGCATAAGAAGGAGGCGGCTTGGGTGCCACCCAAGGTGCACATCTGGCGTTGATGCTGCATCGCATGAATGCTAACGGAGACAGATTCCCTTAGTCGCAAATGGGTGAACCGGTCGAGGAAATTGCATGTCAACATGACATTCTGCGGCGGTGCAAGATGCCCGAGCACATGACCGCGACTGTGATAAAACCCTGTCATCATCTCAAGTGTAACCACGATCTTCACAAAACACTGGCTCTAAAGATGGCTTTGTATTCCGCTAAGCGTTGGTCAAGAATACACGCTGTCACCCCTTTCCGCGAGCTGTGTTACCGAATGAACCCTGAAAGGAAATAGGGGAGGTTCTGCGGTCAACTTGCATGTAAAGGGCATTCAGCTCATATCGACTGCGTCAACGCAGTATGAGGTTAACAGGGGAGGTTGCTAATGATATATTGGGACCAGATTTCTCCCTATGGAACAGAGCAAGGATTACATTGTCACCAGTCCATAACTTATTGTTAGCCCTCCAATACCGGTGACGCCAAACAAAACACATAGCTCTGCGTAGTCCATCAAGGTTTCAAGACTGTCTTCTTACCCATGCTGCTCACTCTTGGTTATGGATGGACAGCGCGAGTAGGACCTGACAGACTCTCTGCTGTCGCTTTTTAATTTCCTGAAAAAGTATCTACGAAGTGGGAGTAGATCAGTTTATTCAAGGTCTATAGGCACAGACCGTGAATTTTGATGTATGAATATTTGGGCCAAAGTCCATCAGCCACAGCGGGTAACCGCGTATCACCTTACACTAAAGTATACTACTAGCTGCCTGTCGACAGTTAATGAATGTAGGCAGAATGGTATTACCGACAAAGACAAGGGAGACTGGGGTAGCCATTTCTGGCTTATTAGCTGTCGTCAGCCAGCCATACCCAAGCCCGAAGTGTGAAACACCCGAGCCTCGAACTCACGACCTGTTGGTTTAGAAGTCCACGCCTCTACCCACCGGGCCACGAGCCCGTTGCCCTGTCGTTTTTCGATTGGGAATATACAATGGTAGGGGGCGCTCACCGATCGTTCATACGGAACTTACTCGTTCCGTTGTGCCTTAAGGGCTCTCTCTCTCGAGCCCAATCAGCAGCCGCACAGCGGCGCATGATATATAGGCAGAATGGTATTACCGAAAAAGACAAGGGGAACTGGAATGGCCATTTCTAGCTTATTAGCCGTCGTCAGACAGTCATACCCAGGACAACGAGCTCGTGGCTTAGTGGTTAAAGGCGTGGACTTCTGACTAACAGGTCGCGAGTTCGAGCCTCGGGTGCTGGGAGCTGTAGATGGATTGATACCGACAAGGATATGGGAGACTGGGATGGCCATTTCTGGCTTATAAGCCGTCGTCAGCCAGTCATATTAATGAATATTACGCGGTTACGCGCTGAGGCTGATGGACTTTGACCAAAATATTCATACACAAAATTCTTGGTCTGAGCATATAGACCTTAAATAAACTGATCTACTCTAACTTCGTAGAAAATTTCTGAGGAAATTAGAAAGCGACAATTTATAAACTGCTGTATATACCAGAAAACACATGGGGAATGCTGCGGGACCCACTGAAGAGCCGAACCCGTCGCAGCTGCGCTATGCAGGAGCAGAATATCGGCGAAACACGCGTGTATGGGCTTTTGGCTAGACCCTCTACTGCCAATCGTCACGCATAAATGGACGCTTTGCCGACTGGGTTGGTTAGCCATGATCGGCGCTAGGCTCGAATAAGTTTTCATCACTACTTAATAAAGCTATGCCATAGCCGACTTAGAGAGCTTCGATAATGTCGCGAATGGTACCTCTAAACACGTGAGGATCTCATGCGGTGTGTCCGGAGAACTCGACTCATTCTGTCACCCAGAGACGGAGGCCGAATACAAAAGATCAAAACATCAGTTCCACGTCTTGCTGAACTGTGTCGAGCCAGTTTTTAGTCGATCCTAGTTTTTTACATCTGCAGGTGATCAATAACGCCGGATCCAGGGCAGCAACAATGAATTTATGCGGCGGACGACGAAGCGCATGCCCAATCCTCTTTCTTCGATGGTCTGAGATAAATTCGAAATGTCAGCCTAGCTAATGCGGACTGTTTCGTTTGAGACGACGTCGGTGCAATTAACTCGCAGGATGCTCCTTGAGAAATGTTATTCGGTCGCTGGATGGACACACAACGTAGAGGAAGAGTGCCCGGCACAAAGGAATCCCTGGGGCGACGGAAGTATCGTGACAACTTCACATGCACCTCCATAAGCTTTTGCACACTCGACTAGACGAATCGATTCGGATGAACATGACGAACTTACTCCGTCCATTTGGCAGCTACGTCACCCTGAGGTACTCGAAACCGCGAACGCCTTCTAGTTGAAAGCCACTAATTCGAGGGGATCGTTCTCCAGGTTAGAGATGTGATTCGAAAACGGATTGATTCTCATAGAAGTAGTGGATAAGGCAACTGATTTGGCGATCTTATACTTCTACAATATGACGTCCTCTAGGTCACCATAGCTTGATGCGGTAAGATATGGTTATGTAGCTCCACTTGATGGGGTTGTGGGCTACGAATAAAGCAGCTATTTCTTAACCACTCAAAGTACAACCGCGCATTCTCAATGGTTTTCCTTTTGCATACACCTTCTTGACCTCGTCGCCTGTGCGTTCCCCGGCATCACCCTTAAAAACTCCTAAGACCACCGGTCCAGTATTACAGGCGGCTGGGGTTTGTTTACTTTAGGTTTCGGTAAGGTGATTCCATACTAACAGCACAGGTACTAGCCAAAAGCCCATACGCGCGTGTTTCCCCGATGTTCTGCCGCTGCGTGACACAGCTGCGTGGGGTTCGGCTGGTCAGTGGGTCCCCCCAGCATTCCCTGTCTGCTTTCTGGTAGATAGTCCAATTTAGAAATTGCAGCTTTCTAATTTCCTTAGAAATTAACTGCGAACTTGGGGTAGATCAGCATCTTAAAAACTTAGGTCTGCGCCTATCGACCTTAAATATACTGATCTACTCCAAGTTCGCAGTTAATTTCTAAGGAAATTAAAAAGCTTCACTTTAGGTTGGGCTACATAACCACAACTGACTTTTGGTGCTGGCAAAGCAGTATATTCGGCATCAAGGGCCATCTTGCAAAAGAAGATTGGGGAGACTAAGGAATGTTGGCCGTCGTTAATTGAGAAAGGTCAGTTCGGCTCCCAAAGATCCAAAACCGAACGCTTATCAGAAGAAGTGGTCAGCCAAGAATATTGATCAACAGCAGCCATCTAGGTATTCAGGTGGCTCTTGGAACCTCCGTAATCTGTCGCCCCAAATGAAGAGGAGGGCGGTTCGCCCTCACATAGTTCGTATAGAGAGGCGCCAACATGGAGGATCAGTCAGGCAGTAGGGACTCACGTGACAGTTGAGGCAGAACCCTGCGGCCGATTGGCGTAGAGCATTGCACTCGACAAAAAGTGCAAACGTGGTATATCACCTTCGTAGAGAGTGAACTCGCAGCTGGAGAACCAGAAGACGCGGTCCGGTGAGTAGCTCGGAATCACTGCTAGCAGACAACGCTAAAAACAAGACAAGGCGCGGTTGGAACAAAAAAGAAATAGGCAGGTCAGGTGAGTGAGCTTCATGCCTGCAGATTGGCTTCTTGTAGGACTCAAATACAGGCAACCTCTTCAGCCCTGCCTAAGGAAGCTTTGAGTAGAGACGATCGCCAATACAATTAGGCTGAGTTAGCTCTATTAAGCGGGGCAAACTCGTGATAATGCACAAACCACCTGATCCTGCTCTTCGACATTTCGACCGAATAAGCAGCCGACCCAAGTATCAGGTGAACTGATTAGTCGGAGTGCACTTGATCCTCTGTATTCTGTAGCACTAAAGCATCAGTCTGACAGTCGGTTAGAAGCATCGTGAGATTTCTCACCTGTCGCAGAGAAGCTGTACTTTTTTCCTGTAAAATGAGTAGTGACTTCTGAGTACAGACCGAAGTCCTTGCGCGAAACGCTCTGTCCTCAAGTCCAGATTACCTAATACGTAAATAAAGTCTCATTCGTCATACGCCCTTGAAAGAAATAATCCACGACAAATGTTTGAGATATAATACTTTGGGAAGTTTGTCTGGCCTAAAGAGAGCCTGCTATTACTCACAAATGTTGCTTAGACAGTCAGTTTACTTAACTAAATTTGGTGGACTTCATACCCTGCAGTAGGCTGAGTGGTTGGCTTAACCAAAATGTGACTAAATTCAACGCCACGGACATAACACGTTTTGCATTACTTTAAAGACGTTTCAGACGCGACTGAGCACATTGCAGGCCGACCCAATGCTACAGTGCACAACGGGGGTCATGAAAATCAAGTACCGATAAAAACACAGTGCGTATTCAGGCGCAGTGTACCGTATCCTGCCTCCTAAACTGTTCTAACAATCACATTGTTAAAACTGAACGCACGCTCGGATCACGAACATAGTGTGACTGTGCGGTGGGGTGACGTGTTACCAAAAGTGGCTACCTACACCTCCAAATGAGTCACGAGTTTAACTTTACAGCCGCCAAGACAAACGTTCATGGCGGGAGCGAGAGAAGCCGAGGATGTATTAAAGCCTGAATCGCCGATGAGAATTCAGTAACTCGAGGTGCTCCTCTGGTGGCCACATACGGAACCGTACAGAGTGGAATTTGGTGAACTCCACAGGTTGCAGTAGACTGGGCAGGTGGCTTGACCCTAAAGCGATTAAACTCAGGGCTCCTGGTGGAGTCTCTTAATTCAGGTGGTTAGAGCGTTGGCTGTACTCAAGCCTTGCGCTTGATGTCGCAGGTTGGAATCCCACCGAGGCTGAGTTTTTTCAAAATTGGATTAGGTGAATTATGGTTATGTCGCAAATTGCTGACGTAAACCGACAGGACGACGGGGCCGTGGTCCAGTGGTTAGAGGCGTTGAACTTCTAACTAACGGGTCACGAGTTCGAGCCCCAGGTTTTCCAAATCTCGGGGTTGGGTAGACCGGCTGCCGACGGCTAATAAGCCAGAAATGGCCATTCCGGTCTCCCTTGTCCTTGGCGGTAATAACATAGTGCCTAAGTAAATAAGTCTACGCTACATCCGTGCATGATGCCATGCGGCAGTTTACGGCAGAAAAAGGTTCCTGTGCCAAAAAGTTGCCTTATTCGTCCGAACGACCGGCTAAGTTAGACCCGGTTTATGGGATTATTCTGTGTCGATTTCCGATATATTTTTATTCTTGATGAAAAGCCGGTCAGAGCTTTGGGTTTAATGGACTATATGGCATTATGGAACTTACTCGTCCTGTTGTTCCTTGGGACTCTCTCTCTCTCTCTGTCACAACCGGCAGCCGCACGGCAGCGGGTAATAAAGGCAGAAGAGCATTACCGACAAAGACAAGGGGGACTGGAATGGCCGTTTTCTAGCTTATTTGCCGTCTTCAGCCAGTCATACCCAACCACCGAGATATGGAACACCTGGAGCTCGATTCCGCGACCTGTTGGCTAGAAGTCTAACGTCCCTAACCACCGAGTTGCGGCTTTGCTGTCCTGTCGGTTTCGATCCGATATATACAATGGTAGAGGGCGCTCGCCATTCCCGAAAGGGGACTCACTCGCTCAGTTGTGCCTTGGGGCTCTCTCTTTCGAGCTCCGGCAGCAGCTACACTACGGCGCGTAATACAAGCAGAATATTATCACTGACAAAGACAAGGGAGACTGAAACAGCCACTTCTGAATTGTCGGCCGTCGTCAGACAGCCATATCCTACCCCGAGGTAGTACAATTTCAAATACCACAATAGCTTCCGGAGCAACAACCTTGATGATTGTCTTTAGGAGAGAGAACCAGGGGACGGCGGTGGTAGGTCTTTCCGAGGACCGCGGTGTAAGCAGCTTGTTTGCCGCCTCAGAGAGATGAACCTGGTGCGTGATGTCCCCGTTGCAAAGGCGGCGGGGATGAAGCAGCCCACGAAGCACGGCGTTCGCCCGCAACAGGCAGTCCCCGAGGTCGAAGTCAGCCACAGTGTCACACCATTCGGGACCACAGAGTGCCAGGCTCAAGGCAAGGCGCCTGGTCTGCTCTATCCTCTGGGAATCACAGGATTTACCGGGTTCGGGTTTTGCAGGTCTGAGGATTGGGCCTGTTCATGAAAACAGACAAAGAAATTAAGGACAGTTAGATACGCAAGGCAGGTATGTCCTCAGAAAACGTCGACGGCCCATTTCGGTTAGTACAAGACCTTTTTAAACTTTACATGGAATGACAAACAGTTAAGAGCTAAGGACAGACTATTTTTTGCAATTTCTGCTGGAAAAAAAGAAAGGAGAAACCGCGAAATAAATGCGTTGCAATAGTCGCGCTGTGGGCGCAAACCGAAGGTTATCTCCAGTGCGCTAGCATTATCAGAAAGGACAAACCAAACGAGGAGTCAATCGTTGGGAACAGAAATTTATTCATCTGATCCTTCGGATTACTTCTCAGGTCCATCTTCAGAGATATGAAAAGAGCAGCAAAACAAGCACCTTACTTTGCACACTAGCCAATCAAATCAATTTCATATCAGTGTTGATGAAGAAGAGAAGAGGATTCCACTGCTGGGACAGGAATTTTTGCAACTTGTGTACCAAATTCACTTACAAACACGTCGTCAGGAAGAGTAACCGACAAAGGTGGCGAGCACACTGTGGGTACAGTAATCATGTGACGCACTCACCAGTTCACAGTTCCCGTCTTCTTCGTAATGGTCTTACTGAATACAATGTCGGCTTAGCTGCCCGCATCACAGTCGGTAATGCCTACGAGTTCACCAGCGGTATTGACGGCCGACGTTGTATGTCACAATTGTTATTAACCTGCCGTACGCACTCATCTAGACCGATTTCGTTGATTAGGACTCAACCGCAGAAGCTACATAAAATTGTGTATTGACGTATTCTAATAGCGTACGGGGATGTCCAAGATCGAACTGCAATTCGACCAATCAGGTAGTGTCCTTAAGCGGATGATAGGTCGGCTGGACTTCTGGCTCATCCGACTGGTTAGGTAGATCTCCAATAGTGTTAGGATCTGGCGCGACATCAGCACGCGGACGGCGTGTTGGTGGATTGTTAGGGCGGTGTCCTAACAACCAGCACCGTCATAAGTTGAAGTGGCTTCCACTCGCACAGTCCCCGGTTGACTAATTACTCTGCCCAGACAGAAGTTATCGTCACTAAGACGGGTGTATGCCCTTCTCTTTGCAGACTATTCGGCTCATGACTACAATCGAACGTTTCTCGTCGGTGGGGGATTGACGATTACGCTTCCCAAAAATCTAGTCTGCTGGGTTTAGGCTGTACGTCAACCTGTGTGTCGGCAGCGTGATCTCTACGCGGCCCCCCAAATGCATGTGTGGTCGGAGTCTGAGACTACCACGTGGCATCGGGCGCCGTGACTCGGAAGGGAGGCGACTGAGGCCCCAACTCAGTCCAGGCAGTCCGTCAAGTTGTGCATGTGTGCGTGTTTGTGTGGAGTGGCGGACTGGTGCGCTGAGAGCCAGGCTGAAGCGGCACCTCCAGCGATCTATGACTCTCATGTATGTGAGGAGGGTGTGTACTCTATGGGTAGTGCCTCTCAGTCGACGACTCAATCGAAGACTGTTTGGCTACCTCAAATTGAAGGGTGACGGTTCGGGCTATATGCAGGACCAACTGTCACCCTCCTAGGTCAAAAGGTCTGGAAGCATGTGCTATGCCAGTATCAGCAAACCATGACTCTCCCAGCCTAGTATGCGCGGGCTGTCCCCTGACATCTGGTTCCCTGCCGCTAGATGCGCTTGCGCCCCCGCCGAGTATACAGGAGGTGGACATGGCCGCCCAAACATCCTCGTCGCTCTGGCTCTTGTTGGGGTGCTGTTGTTGTTGTTGGCGAAAAATCCTGGTCATTTGCTGTGCGGACCAGGGAGTGTAGAGTGGAACGTCAAGGTGCGGGCTCGACCATGCCAGCCGCCTGCGCCCTCCTCCACTTCCGGTCTTCTTTACTCTGTCTCGACACCAGGTCCAAGTGGGGAATGGTAAAAAATGAATACAGTAGACGCTGCGCAAGTCTACTATCACTTTAAGCTAATTCGCGCGCAAGTTAACGTGCCTGCTGCACCTTGTTGTGGATCACAAAGTTGACATCGTCAAAACCGACAGTGGAACTCTCGTAGTAGCATGACAAAGACTTTGAAATAGGGCGCCGCCAGTCCATTATGACCTCAACGGCGGCTACGTAGTCTCGTGGCCTAATGTTGTCGGCGACGGAACATGTCTCATGGCTCAGAACCCTGATCTATTGTTTACTGAGCCGTCTGGGTGACCAATTGTGTAGGGGCCCGCCGCATGCTTCTAGAATGGCTCAATCTGTGCAACATGGTCTACATTTGTAATCTCTATGTTCATTTCAATGGCATCCATGGTAGCCGTCTCACGTTGACATTTGGGTGATGACTGATTCCGACTTTAACTGTTCAGTGACTGCTTTGTGCGCAATTAAGCAGGAATGGTAGTACGCTTGTCAGTGCTCCCTTCTGAAATTCTCTCCGTAAATCAATGTTCACTCGTTGTTTGCGATCCACATCCTTCGGAATGAATACGTCATGGATACACTGATGCGGTGATCGTCGGATGCTGCCTCAGGTGTGGCAAGTAGAGGCTGCGTTACGCACCCTAGTCCTACATTCCCGAGACTGAAATATGAACGTCGCTCGATAACCGGTGGCCACAGTGTGCTCCCAAATAATGCGCATCAGGGAAACAAATCAAACATAGGAAAGCAGTCCAGTGCCATCTACTGCATTCCGTGTGCTGGCAACCCCTGCAACTACAAAGGTCAGAGTGGGCAAAAAACGGAGACTCGGTTGCATGGGCAGATTAGTTCATTGAGAAGAAGGAGACCTATCAAAACTTGCGGCTACTCACTTTCCGAAACAAAGCACACCTACTATGCATCTGCCAAGTTAGCGGTCGGACAGACAGCTAACAAGACCGTAAGCAGATAGGTCGGAAGGTGATAATTATGTTAAACATGGTTAAATAGACGCATTGAACCCGAACCCGTCCATCAAGCGTTGCGCAATCAAGCCGAAGGTCGCAACCCTGTCACGGAATTAGTGAATGTCAAAAAAATCGATGCAACCACGCACGATGACACGAAATCCAGGTGATTGGTCAGTATATTTTTTTAAGGGTAATAGGCAATGCCTTTGAAAACCCTATTGGCTAGGTCGAAACTTAGACTGTTTGGTTTAAACTTTCGAATGCGGATTGCTGAAGAGGCGCGAAAGCCCAGGTGAGTGAACAACCATTCTCAGTGATGGACTCGGTAAATAAAACATAAATTTGTTGGAAGGCCTATTTCATAAGTGATTGGCGACAACGAAAGAAAATTTCCTCTCAATCCTACGCCCAGCTACTGCGCTTTTCTTACTGCCTTGTACCTCATGACAACTGGCAAGCGGATCGATTGCCTACCACTGGGTGATCCCTTATTCCCAACTAAAAGTCAGGCAAACTGTGGACTGCATGTTCAATTTTGTTTTCGTTTGTCCGGAAAAAAAACACCCAGAAATGGGGAAGAATTAGTAACCGAGAGAAAAAAAGGCTCTAGCCGTGAAAAAAGCTAAGGATTCACCCTGCCAGTAAGATGACGTACAGTTCATTCTGCCGTGGGCTCAAGGTGGCAGTCGTTGCAGACGGCAGTCTAGCGACGTGCGAAAAATAAATTCGCAAGACCAACAGCAGAACTTCGATTGGCTATCTTTGGGACGCCTGACATTGAAAAGAGGCACAGGGTTTTGCCTGTCTGCAATACTGTGGAGTCTGTAGACGCGTGAAACAGCACTCCTCTACGCGTTTGATCCCCTCTCACGCCACCTCACACTCCCTCCCTCCCCCCTCTATATAGCTGCAATTTCACACAGTTTCGCCAGTTAAACCATACCTGACCGTATTGCACAGAGGAATCACGGGTGTCAAATGAGAGATCTGCAGCCAAAAGATGTGACTACCTGTGAAAATGGCAATGTTGCCTAGAGAGATCTGGCCAGAACGTAGTACGACAGCACCAGGCTGAAGCTCATTCTCACAGGCAGTGAACCTCTGGCCAATCCAGAGGTTGAGGCAGTCAGCATCTCCGGGGCTTGCTGTACTCAGACGGCGACGCAGGAGGGTCTGGCTCCCACAGGAGTGGCCGCCCTCAAAGTCAGACAGGCCGGAGACCTGGTGTAGGAGGAGGGCCTGTTCGGTGTAAGCGGATCCGTTCACTGTGCAGGAGACCTGTGGAGAACGGGGTCGGAGGTGAAGGCAAATACAGTGGTGGGTTGGTAAACCCCATGAATGATGAAAATCATATTGAACCTTATAAAACTAAACAATGTGACACCTTTGGAACTATACGCGTGTGCAAGACATGGTAGACGCTAGTTCGAATCCCTCTGCGGAGAACGACAAGAGTTCACGTAAGCCGGACAATTAAATCAGACCAAAATGACTGCATGCCCGACCAGCAACGGATCATAATTTCCAAACCCAGGCAGAACAAACTACGTGAAGGCCACAACAGAGGCTTCCGGGTGGCAAGTATCACACAGCCCGCATCGGCCACAAGTTAAAAAACACCAGGAGTCGTAGACACAGTAGAGGAGGTGAACATCTGAAAACGAAGCTGGCTGCGAGACGGAGGCTGAGACTATTAGATTTTACTTGCAAAGCTACGCGCAAGGAAGAAGGTTGAAATGCAGGGCATATGCGGAGAAATCTTAGTGGAAGCTCGTCGCTCATCAAAAGAATTTAAACCGCATACCTGGCGGTTTTAGAATTCAACTAGGTCGGTAAACGTCACCGCTATACAACTAGTTGCCCCATGTGGAGTGATCGGAGTGTTTTTACCGGTGAATGCAGAGGAGGACTATTTGTAAAACGCAATTTCTCGATGATCCCGCTTAAAATTTCCAGCAGGTAGCAATCAGGGAGGGAAAAGCAACCAACACCAATGCTCTGACGGTCGTATTGCCAATTCTTCTGCGGCGTAACGCATGTTGGGCACAAGAACGTAGGGTGAGACCTCATCTGACAGAATGCTTATTCACTGGACGATGTGATATTTCAGGGGCGAGTCGATGAACCGACGAAACAAAACAGACGGCAAAGTCTTGGACAAGAGAAGAGTGGTATGACAGTTTTCATGATGAGGATGGAAAGAGTTATTGTCAAAGACAGGGACGTGGGAGGTGAATGACCATTTCTTCTGGCCTACCCACCGCATTGAGCAGCAGAAACAGCAAGCTAGACTCCAAACCAACCGAAAGAGGCTTTGTGGCGGTCAAGGATGTGGGATCAACTTAACCCACGCGCAATAAGTTCGCTTCGTCTACTGTCAGAAGTCAGGGAGCTGTGAGGACTACTTTATTCTGTACACAGGACAGAATGCCGTAAGTTGGCTGTTTGCTTGCAACAGAGATAAGAGTCCGTTCACGGAGAGCGTCAGTCGCGGTGTGTTGTTCACGCGGGTGTGAGTGTCTGGGTCAGCAGGAGGGGGTGACTGGTTGAGTGTTGGTCGCGTGATTGGACAAATTAGGGGAGGAAGAAGGGGCGCATGCACACAATGCCTCACGGGTATCAAGCCAGGGCGTTAGGCGCGCGTGAGGTGATGAAAGTTTGTGAGGTCAGCCGACAGTCACTGAAGTTGGGCCGGAGGTGCTCGAGTGTTAGCCGGTGGGGGTGGCCGTGTGTCAACAGCTGTTGCGGCCATTGTTCGACAAAACGGAGCCGGAGAAAAGGGGGACTGGAGCGGCTGCTACAGGTTCAGATATCCGATCTGCCCTGCATGGCGATAAAGTACGACTGGCCAGTCTACTCGTCTTTTACTAATTGGCAAACCTCTCAGATATGCAACGTTCATCGCTAGGAGGACGCCTACAAAGACTCCGGCTTGGAATTTCAGAACAATGCGGCGCGCACGTACACCGTCTTGAGTTCAAGCTGGGACGGTGAATGGAACTGTCATTTGAAACCTTAGCGCTGGACGGCAAAGCATGCAAAAGGACAAACAAATGACAGGTATCCTTCGAAAGATCACCTCGTCAGCTCTTTTCTGCCAATTATGACTGGATATGTAGCGAAGGAAATAGCAGGTCGTGCAACAGACTTGCTTACCCATCCAGAGAGGACACCAACCGCATCCGTATTCCAGAGCACCGTGAGAAAAAGATGATTCCAACCAACTGCCGGATGAACAGCAGTTGCTTCCTCATCCGTCAGCGGCAGAAACGCGTCGCCGACAAGTGTGAGCTGAAGGTCAGACTCGTTCAGTGAGTGAACTGCCGAGGGCAGACATCCGAACGCGTGCTGGCAGCGTGCGTGACGCACACATCGACGCCAAACTCGGACATAGACTCCGGCCAGATGAGGGACATTCCAAAACTAGAAAAAATCAAATACCCTAAGTCACTAAGCATGAAGGTGAGAACCGTAGACAGTATGCATAAAGGCACACAGAAACGCCACCTGGAAGGACCAACAGCTGGGGCAGTTCACATCAGACGTTGGTTGACTCCGAATCTGCTGGGCGGTAGCGGAGGGACGAGCGCTGGCGGAGAATCGTCTGGCGAGGCCAGTAGAAGTAGAGACCGCCTCAAGGGTGGCCAGGTGAACCAGCAGGCCTTGGGCGGAATAGGAGAAAATACGCTCGCCGGTGAGAGGGAGGGCCGAGACGAATTCCTGACGGGTCCCAGGGTCTGGAAGGCTGGTCTGTGAAGAAGCCAAAAAAGATAAATAAAGGCAGTTTGACAGTTTGAGAGTCACAATGATCACACGCACTCAAGCAAAAGTGCAACATATCGAGGATTAAAAAAATCTTCACGCGACAAAGCACTGAACGAGCCCTGTCGCAACTGCACAAATTACTAAGTACATCTCTTGGCGTTTCAAGGGGGGACGGGGAGTGTACAGAAGGATAAAACGAAGGCGTCAAAAAATGACTCGAAGACTGGCATATGCCGATCACCAAACCGGCAGACAGTTAGATTGACATGCAGGTTTTTCCGGGTATGACTCCGGTGTGCAAGTCACCGCTGCCTGCTGCGAGAAAGTATGTTTATTGTGAGCGAAAAGGAGCCCAATTGTTACGGAGAGCGCAGTGGCGACTAGCGCGCAAAGAAGACTTGCATAGCGCCGACCTCGCGCTTTCCTCTTAAACCCACCCTGTTGGTAAGGCAAGACGAGAGTAAGACTAGGTGCAATGGCTGCGGGAGAAAGGCCACATTTATGCGTCATAAATGTGCTAGTTCTTACAATGCACAGCCGTAGCGTTAGATCGGACCAGCCCCTACATCAGTCAATAGACGCGTTAGCTCGGCTACGCTGAAACGGAGCGTGCGGCATGCACTAGGCGTGTTTCACGCTAACCACTGTGTCGCATCTCATCAGCAGTCGGCTGATGGGGTAGTAAAGGGCACTGGTGCCTGGGCGAGGGAGAAAAGTGCGAAACCAGAACTGAGGTAACCTTCCCCGCGGAAATTCGGCGATTTCCTCGCTTTATCAGGCCTTCGGCATCGAAAACCAATACTGTATGAATGCTCAAATTCCGATCATTTTTCCCAAGTGCAGTTCCGTTTACCAAGGCCCGAAGACTGCGGATAAACGAGTATCCTCTCATCGTCCAAGTGTTTTTTTTTCTATTTAAGTTTCGCAGCGTGGTAGTGTAACTCAAACAGGAGTAGCGATGGTGCCGACTTATTAATGGGCTTTGAAGTTCTGTCATTTTCAGAAAGAATACAATTGTCTCCGGGGTTTTCCGACCAGGAAGTCGACCACGCTCATTCATCAGTGCCCAGTAGTTACGAAGTGAACGTGAATAAATGACGACGCGCCACGGCCATGCGAAGAATATCAGAATGCCCTAATGCTGACCTGGTCATTGTGGAGATTGAACCACGTGGAGACTGCCACTCCAAGGAGCGGTCTTTCGCTGGTAAAGGAAGTCGATTGAGGCGCAGCAGTCAGTGAGGGAGGCGTCTCGTAGGCGCTGAGGTAGCGTGAAAGTGGGACAGGCCAGAGGGAGTTGGCGACCATCGCGACGCCCTCAGCGGTCTCCTTATCGACCCGGAGGGTGCTGCTGCGGCTGCGGTCACTTCTGACATTGGAGCTTTGTAACCCCACCCGGTGAAAGGCTCTACCGTTGGCATCGGGCGTCCTGGTGGCAGCGAGGCAAGCTCGTACATCTGATGAGCTGGCATAGGCGGCCGCACAGTGACGGAATACGGCGCAGGGGGATGTGGCGTAGAAGGCTGTCGCATTGGTGGTGGAGGCAGAGGGGAGGCCCGCACGAGAGGGCCTCGGCTTCAGCGTCGGTTTCGGCCAAGCGACGGGTGTGATCAGAGGCCAGAGGATGTGCCTGCTTGGCTCCAACACGTCGACTGATTTCACCCAATCAACAAGCAGGTCCAGGAGCCTCCCCTACAATCGGTCGGCTGACTGTTAGGATATCTGGTTGAGAAGAGGGGCGGTGGGTGGTGGGAATAATGATTTAAATGGCTCACCGGAAGCTCCAATTGGTTCGACAGAACCAGCTGAAACAGACTCTTGATATGCAAACTTGACATAGGGAGCAGTGGTGGTTCATCATTTAGGCCACGGGTCCATAGGGAGTGCAGAATGGACAAACAACCTGTTGACAAGTCTGAAAAGCAGAAAAATGTCGTAACCGACAATTTAAAAATGGAATTCCAGAAGGTAGGCATAAAGGAGAAGCAACCAAGGTTCACAAAAAATATGAGGGTGGGTCTAGCGCCTCATCATAGACGTTCACATCAATCGCCTGTTCGCTTCAATCAGCAATCTTTTTGGGCGCGAAGCGCTCCGATCGGCTCGACGGTGGGAAACCTTTGCCCTTCGAGAGTCGTCAACATATGCGCAGATTCGATTTCTGCACAGGTGTCTCGACAACAATGTGCTGTCAAAGTGCGTTTCATACAAACCTCCGGTCAACACAGAGCTGGCGAGACGCGCAGTACTTCAGCACGGCCGACGAATGATCCGAGTGCTCCTTCAAGACTGTCACTCACGGATTCGCAAATACCGTCAGAGGATTGACCAAGAGAAAGCAAGGTGCTGCGAGTTCATGGGCGAGGACGGCATAAAACTGCTTCAGCAGAGGCTGGCCGAACGAACCCGCGAACATAAAGCAACGCGAGAAGCAGCCCTAGAGAGCAAATTTCGTAAGCTGCCTGCTCCAAAGTCATCCAAGAACGACAAACTGGTGCACAACTTGTCGTCAAAGGAGCTGACGGAGGAACAAATGCAGGTTTTACGGCATGAGGCCTCATTCAACACAGCCGATGTCAAACCTGCCAACATGATCGCAGCAGTGGAATCAATCCTCAGCCAGACGGGAGCGACCGACGAAACGAAGAACCTCATTCGACACCAAGTGTCCTCCCTCCTCATGGCTCATAGGCCGCGCGATGTGCTTTCCAAGGTCGAGCGCGATGCACTTAAGGAACTCAGGGCCGACAACGACCTCGTTATCGTGCCTGCGGACATGGGGCGTTCAACGGTCGTATTGGACAGGACAGACTACAATCAAAAAGCCAAAAGCTTGTTGGAGGATCGTCAGTCCTATGTCCCATGCGAATCCAATCCCATGAAAACGCTGACTCGCGAGATTAACGCGACGCTGTTGGCAATGGAGAACTCAGGTGCAATATCGCCAATCGACCGACGCATGGAGAGAGCACAAGAAACGGCCCTAGCCCGATTCTACGGTCTCCCAAAAGTGCACAAAGAGGGCGCTCCTCTCCGACCTAACGTATCACTAAAGGGCACTCCAACCTACGGACTGGTAAAGTGGCTGTTCCAACGTCTGAAGTTTCTGACCTCCGATTCGAACACCACAGTCAGCTCGTCAACGCAATTCTTGGAGAAACTTAAAGGAGTAAGTCTCCTGCCAAGCGATATCATGGTTTCCTTTGATGTCACGTCCCTTTTTACTTCTATCCCGCAGGACCTGGCAGTCGAGACAATCGAAGTACTCCTACGAGAGAAGTACGACGAAACGGAGAATCGCCTCGGACACGCCCAAATCATCCAGCTCCTGAAATTCTGCCTCAAGACGTACTTTACATTCGACGGGGCAATCTACGAGCATGTGAAGGGGACGCCAATGGGTTCGCCGATTTCGGGACTCATAGCCGAGGCGGTCCTTCAACGGCTGGAGTCGCTGGTTTTCCGACACCACAGACCGAAATTCTGGGCTCGGTATGTGGATGACACCTTCGTCGTCATCGAACGGGATCAGGTGCTGACTTTCAAAGAACAACTCAACGCCGTCTTCCCGGGCATTCAATTTACGATGGAGAAGGAGGAAAACAATCAGTTGGCCTTCCTGGATGTCCTCGTCTGCCGCAAAGATTGTGGTGGCCTAAAAACCAAAGTATTCAGGAAAGCGACAAATACGACGCAAATACTGAACTTCAATAGCAACCACCCGATCAGTCACAAACGCAGTTGCGTAAGGGCGCTATACCGGCGTGTTGAGACGCACTGCAGTGAAATGGAAGACAAGGTTGCTGAATTACAATATCTTCGACGGGTAATGAGAGCCAATGGCTACCTGCCCAACTTTGTCAACCAGTGCATACGAAAAGGACACCAGAGACCAAATCCAACTAGCCCCAAATTTTGGCGGGCTCTTCCGTACGTGAAGAACGTCTCGGAAGCCGTCAGTCGTCTTCTCACTCCACTTGGAGTTGGGGTTGCACACAGGCCGGAAGCAACCATTAGACGCCAAGTAATGAGGCCAAAAGACCCGCTGCCACGGCAGGAAACGTCTGGAGTCGTTTACCGGATCTGGTGTAGTTGCGGACAAAGCAATTATGTCGGAGAAACTGGGAGATTACTCCGTACGCGACTTGCCGAGCACGCAGCAGCAGTGAGGCGGGGAGACGCTAACTCTCAGGTGGCGGCACACTCGACGGGACCCGGCCATATTTTCAAATTGCAAGAGGCCAAAATCCTCGCAAGGGGTGAAAACCGCGTGAGCCGCCAGCTGCTCGAGTCATGGTTCTCAGGCCCGTAATCCATCAACAAACACAATGACCTCCCGGTGCCCTATTCCGTATTGCGATTTTCCCTGGGCAGGAAAATCAGTCACGTGGGGAGGGCGCGGGTGAGCAATTATCACGGTGACAGTGAGCCAGTTTGCCGAGCAATCGTCACACCAGCATCGAGCACAGATGACGAAATCGCGGCCATTAACAACTCGGACTCGGACCGCCAAGCCACCGCCGCATCAATTACGACCCCAGCGGCGATTGTGAGAACTGTTAATTGCTGTGCGCATACGGTTCCACGGCAGCCACGTGCTATAAATACTGCACTCCTGGTGCCACCTTCACCTCTATCTGCGAATGTCTCTGATGATGGATTCGAGTGAGAATCCGAAACGTCAGGCAAATAAACTTCTTGTCCCAGTGATCGCATCTTCATCTTCTGAACTGCTACCTGGGACTCGCCTGTTCGCTTCAATCATCAATCGCAGTCTTAGGAGCAAAACGGGGTGTCCGGTTAAACAACCCATTAACAAGAGGAGTGCGCCCATTTAACCGGATCGGAATGCTAAGCTAGACTGAGGTAAAATGAAAATATTTTGACTACGGGGAGTAGTGCATCGTCCGACACCCTCTCGCTGAATCCCCCTATTAGGGATTAGCAATCAGGCAGATTAAGAGAAGTTGGATGGAAGTCCGATGCTGTCTGAATGCATAAGTACGGTTACAGTAGCGTTCGGTCAATAATCTTAGGAAAGTTGCGGACTGTAGAAGAACACAAGCCTTCCAGTAAGACCCTACTCAGCTGTTTCAGTAGTATGTTATTTCGTCATCCTTGATTAATTCAGAAGCCCTAATCTTATGGCCGTCTTACACAAGAAGCATCTTTGTCTTTGGTGGAGAAGATGAAGAAGAGCTTCGAAAAGCTCCTCCAGATGAATTTCGTAAATATGTTCCGGCTGATGAGAAGGCGCCTCCAAAAATTTCCAGCAACCTTCGACATGCTTAGTGAGCAGATTTAAAAAAATGTTAGGACATTACAAAGTGTGTTCATTGGGCCAAACATCTGAGACGTCGTCCAAATGTTCAAACGGGAATCGTACTTTTTCGCAGCAATCAAAGTTCAGGCAGTGGTCTTTTTAAAAATTTACATAGACTGCCATTACTGGGGGATTCCCAGTGGAAAACCGACGTATCATCAAGCTTACGAGCATTCTAAAAACGCTAACGACGAGGCCTTGTCGGTAGAACGCCCCCATTACTGGTTTTTCGTCGATAGACCGTCACCCGCGAGGGCTCCGACTTGACTCCTAATTAAAGGTGGATTGGTACAGACTGCATACTGCAGTCCGGGAAGCCAGCGTTTTAAACACCAATCGGTAAGACTGACCTACATGCCCCCCAAACACGACATGGGAGCAGTAACTGACTGCAATGTGGGTGGCTTTGAGCCAACTTCCAGGGGAATAAGAGTTAGGGCTAGGTTAAGGATCAGGTTTAAGGCTAGACTTGAAGGTAACGGCACTGTAAGTCAGGATCAAGTTAGGGATTAAGGTAGGAGCTAGTGTTAACTGCAGAGTTAAGGTTTAAGGCAGGATTAGGGTCAATATTATAGCAACAGTTTAGTTTCATAGACAAGGACTAAGTATATGCGCGGGGTAAGAAAGTACCAGCTGTAGTTTATTAGATTCACCAGCGCCTTACTGGCAGACGTATGCATTCTATGTACCATTATGCCGAGTATTTTTTACAACCTGAATGTTTTTGGCGCCGAGCTTCACTTTAAAATTGCGCTTTCTCCTTACTAAAGAATTGCGTGTGGAGTGTGCGGAACAATTAACCAATGCTGGCGTTTAAGCAGTACCGACTCCTCGAGGCTGTACAGGTTAACGGATGACATCCTGCTGACAAAGGGTCGGCCAGAAACTTTGCAGAACAACACTTTTGAGAAATAGAGAAGACACCTCTTCATTGTTTCACCTTACCGCGCGCATACACTTAATCCTTGCCGTTTTTCATATTAGGTTTATTGTTGCGGTTAGGATAAGGGAATATCTCGCCCTTTCCGGAATTATGTGAAGGTCTACTTGGGCGTGGCGTTTTTATTCCCAGGTCCTTTTTAGGGAGGCCACATGAGTCAGTCTTACCCACCGATCTTGCGGCTTTTGCTCTGTCTAAAAGTGGGAGGATTTCACTCAGATTAAATAGTTTCGACGCAAGCAAGACGTGGGAATAGGAAAACCTGCCTCCCCCCCTTCCAGGGAGATGATGTCTAGTGTTAAGGTTAGGATGAAGTTGGGTTGGATTGGCCTTATGACACGGAAATATTTCCCTTCCTGAAGTCTTGCCCAAGGTGAACCGGTATTACTGATGGAGATGGTTCACCTTCCCGCGCCCTATTCCGGCGCATTTTCCTCATGATTCACAACAGGCCTCCTCTGAATCGTATAGAGCAGCAAGATCACTATAAAAACCGGTAAAGATAAGATGTCGGAGGGAGGGGTTGACCCAACTAATTCGTGGAACACTCCTCGGGACTATAATCATGATTCGTCAGCTGCGATATGCGGCATTCACAAGACCAGCGACACTTGTCAACCAGACCTAACACAGTCATCTCGACAACAGTATTTAATCGATGTCTAAATTATTTGTGGGACGAATTTCCTCGACAAAAAAATCATGGAGAAGAAGTCACGGGAATAGAAGCAAACCTTGATTGGATGCAAAGAGTCGAAGATGGCTGATGATAGATGATGCCACTAACGAAAGCTGATCCTGTAATTGTGAGGGAAAAAGAAAGCATGTGAAGGAGCAACAATGGGGTAAAAATCCATGGTGCTGGCAAGAAAACAGCGAGTCAAGAAGTGAAATCAAACTGACAGTCATTCCTGCTCACATAGAGCAATATTGCCGCCAGTTAGAGAGAAGAAAGACAAGGCGCAAAATGTTTCTGAAGCAGGAGCCTCTTACCAGCACGTAAAAAACATGCGCTCAAATTTACTGGTATCGAATGCAACTAAGGATATAAAGTGAAACTTAGTCCATAAAAATCAATAAAAACGAAGGAAAGTAAAAAGGTACGTTGGCCTCGATGCAGTAAACCAGCGCAGACCAAATTCCATCACCACACGTCTCCGCACCAACACATACATCACACACGAACCCACCCGGCACCACGCAGCACACGCACGGAGTAGGCACCTCTCAAACAAGTGGGGAGGGTGTTCTTCAGCTACTTCACCATATGGTACCTATGTGTGAAAACCTGTGTGGGGGACGAGGTCGTACGTGGCACGCGTAGACGAGTTTTCTAGCTCCGTCAGTCACTTGCGTCAAATCCCTGCATCAGATGGCTGACCGGCTCGGACAGTGGACTGGTGCCCGGAAAAGAGAAGAGAGAGTGAGGTCGGCTCCAGGGAATCCACCTTCCCCACGCGCTTCGGTGCACTCCTCGTTATAACAAATCTGATGTACTTGAATCTATCCCGACGCCCTAAACGTCGTGAGTTAGAGGGTTGTCAATCGATGGTGCTTCAGACGTCGCAGTCAGCCCTGTGCGTTTGTGTGGAGTAGTTGGCTGGAGTACAGAGAGCGTCAGACTCAACGACTGCTTCCTAACATGGCCACTATGGCACAATCACGAATATGAGACCTGGGCCTCCCACCACCTCCATGTGGATACCTGGTGTTGTGTGGGATAGTCGCAGACGGGGTTGCCCAGCTATCCCCACATCAGATGACTGACCGGCTCAGACAGATGCTCGAAAAAAGGGAAGCGAGAGCGAGTTTGACTCTGGGGATTCCGTCCCCATGGCAATCAGTGCATATTCTTCACTATATGCAATTTAATGCGCTTTTAGACTATCACGGTGCGCTAAAAGCCGTGGCTTGAAAGGCGGCCAACTGGCGAGATAGCTCGGTCCTACTCTTAGGACGGAGAGTCAGGTTGCAGCAGTTCCTTTTTTAATGTGCCTTCTACGGCACGCCTATTCAGTTGGGATGCGAGCCGTCTCTGCCTCGTTTTTGCGAAAACATGCTCCTTTTTGCACGGATCAGGCTGCGCTCGGTTCCACCTCCGGTCTTCATGACTCCTGACACCGGGCTCAGGTTGGTGAAGGAGATGAGTGCAGAAGATGCTGCGCAAGGCATCCTTACAATAAACTACATAAGGTGGGCTAATTCATGAAATGTCAAACGAAATTTCGAAATGTGTTCTCGTTTCGAAAATATTAATTAAGTGGGGTTGTAAAACTAGTCAGCCTGCAACATAATTCTATAATGATCCAGTTATCTCAGAGTATCTTCGTTCGAAGGAGCTTATTTCTGACTGCGTGCAAGGACTACACTCCGCAAAACTGACTACTTAAGTAGCATGCAATTTTCCCATTGATTCTCGATGCCCTTAAAAATACAATTATATTTAGGCAGAATGGTATTACCGATAAATACAAGGAGACTGGAATGGCCATTTCTGGCTTATTAGCCGTCGTCAGCCAGCCATACCCAAGCCCGAAGTGTGGAACACTCGAGCCTCGAACCGGGCTCGTGGCCCGGTGGGTAGAGGCGTGGACTTCTAAACCAACAGGCCGCGAATTCGAGGCTGGGGTGTTCCCCACCCCGTGGTTGGGTATGTCTGGCAGACGACGGCTAATAGACCAGAAATGGCCATTCCAGTCTCCCTTGTCTTTGTCGGTAATACCATTCTGCCTATATATCATGCGCCGCTGTGCGGCTGCTGGTTGGGCTCGAGAGACAGCCCTTAAGGCACAACGGAACAAGTGAGTTCCGTATGAACGATCGGTGGGCGCCCCCTACCACAATTATATTTCATGGAAAACATGCACAAAAATGTTCATTCTTTTACTTATTCGGTAGAAAGGCATGTCGTCTTCCAATTTCGTACTCGAAGGAGGAGTATAATTCGTTTTTAAAGAACTCATCTAATTGCCGAATAATTCTGAACCAGACCTACTGTTCTACTTGCATTCATGGTTTAAAAGTTACAAGCCGTGTATTTTCCGTGTACGGAAAACCGTACATTTCTCTACTATATTAAGGGAAGACCATATGGGGTTCGTAAAAGTAAGCAGTGGATTTGAGCAATATTTTTAACTTTACAAGCCACATTGGTAAATGCTGATACATGACGTTTTATGAACGGCCATTTCAAGGTGTTAAAAAATCTCACAATAAGAAACTTTTTGAAACCGAATTATACTCTTCTTTCGAGTATATAATTGAAAGAAGACGTAATTTTCTACCGAATAAATATTTTTATGCATTTTTTTTCATGAAATATAATTGAACTTTTAAGGGCGTCGAAAATCAATGAGAAATTGCATGCTACTTAAGCAGTCATTTTCGGCAGAGTATGAATCAAGCATACAGTCGGAAATAGGTTCGTTCGAAAGGATGCACCCTGCGGTAAGTGGATCACTATAGAATTGTGCTGGACGATGATTATTGTTAAAAACATACTTAGTTAATCTTTTCGAAATTTCGGCCGACATTTCATCAGTTAGCCCACCTACGGTAATTCACGCGCACCAATCACCGTGCAGGCCACGCGGTGGACATCATCGTGCGCGACGGTCGAACTGTCATGACCAAAAGTACCCTTCGCAGGGCTGAATGAACTCAGAAAGACGCAGCAATTAAGAGGCGACGTAATCAAATGAGGGAGGGGTTATCGACAGTCAGACAGCGAAGGATCAAAAACCTGCCCTTTGAGTCCCTATTCGCGCTAATACAGCTTAATACCCGGGTTATTTGAGGACAACTTACATTTACCAGGTTAACCCAGGCTTATGCAGACTAGACCCTGTGCTTGTCTGTAGTTTTTGATATTCTCTTGTATTTTCTTCATGTTACTCTCCCTCCACTTTTCCATATACTTCCTCGGCGTGTAACAAATATGGATTTCAAAGTACACAGCTACCTTCCCTCAAATAAACTGAACTGAACTGAAAAAAGAGAAGGTTATCGGGCTCCAAATTTTGCAAACTCTGCCCGTCCACGTCGCTGTTCTGGAATGACCCGAAGCAGAGGTTTACAGTGTGCCAGTTACTAAAACCCTAAGGACCCTCGACACAGATATACCAAGGGGGGAGTCGAGCTTACTGTGCATAAAATAGCTGAAACCCATACTACGTCTTCTCTGGTATCGTTTATACGCGAAATGGGGAGATTTACCATCGTTCCGTTCAATCGCTAGCCTTTTCATGAAACGGCTTGAAGCCGGCGTCACATCCAACTTTCATACTCTGATGGGTCTACACATGATGGAGAGGCACTGTGTGGTACAGCTTGTGACATGGGCTGTTCAACCGAATGATCAGTTAATGGCCATCTTCCTATCACTGTTTACCGGCAAACCGACATTGAAACTTCAAAAACAACCGCAGATAAGCACCTAAACGGCGGTAGCTTTGTTGTCTCCGGCGTTTAATGGAGAACTCGAATAAAAGTGCGAAGGTGCAAGACAGGGAAGAATAAAATCCAATTGACCTTTGCCAGGGCTAAGCAGAGCTGTTTACCGACCCCGACATGCGTTACGGTGACAGACACTGGCGTCGTGGATTAGTCATTTGGAAGAAGACTACTTCTTCTTCGAATTTTGTACTCTTAGGAAGGGCATAATTCGGTTTTAAAAAACTTTTCCAATTCCTGAATAGTTCTGAACCAAACCTGCTGTTACACTTGCGTTTGGGAACCGAGGGCCGGAGAATCATGCATTTCTATACGCTATTAAGAGGAGATCCTATGCGGTTCATAACATTTTGCAGTGGATTTGGGCCATATTATAAACTTTACGAGCGACATTAGTAAATGCATAGACACGATGCTTCATGAACGGGTTTTTCACAGTCTTAAAATATCTCATAATTAGAAACTTTTTAAGATCGAAGAAAACGCAACTTTCTTCCAAATGACCAAAGGAATAAATATTTTTGTCCATGTTTTCTATGAAATATATTTGAATTTATAAGGGCATCGAAAATCGATGAGAATAAGTCATACTGCTTAAGTAGTCGTTTTTTGCAGTGTAGTTTTTGCAGGCGGTCCGAAGGAAGTCCGCTCAAAAACCGGCTTCCCAAAGTAATTGAAATATCTTGGGATTATGCTGCGTGAAATCAGAATTATAACCCTACTTAGGTAATCTTTTCGAGTCGAAAGCGCATTTCAGAATCTCGGTTTACAGTTCATGAATTAGCACATCTACTGCGGGTGCTAAATCAAAGAAGGACGGTAAACTCTGTATATCTGCAATGCAGGATATTGAAAGGAATTATCTTACACGGTGACTTCGTCAGAAGCGTCATGGAATGATTTTCTTCGAATTCTCAAAAAATATCATTTTAACCCAAACTTTCTCTTTTTCTCTCTTTTTTCTTCTCATCTTTTTGCCTCGAACTCGCATCCCCGAGAGAATTAAAAGGATCGCACGTAATGCCTTGCTACCTCGACTCCTATGGTCGCACAGTTTTCGAAGAGGCTCTCACCTCATGGCCGTTGATAGTTGAACAGTGACCTCTGACCTTGGCACTTTTCCTATTGGTCGTCTGAAATAATTTAACTGCCACGCATTTGACCTAATGGCTAGCTGCGGAATGATGCGACAGGCAGCAGTTGAAAGGCCATCAATGCAATCTAACTTCACCGAAATACACACTTTCTGTCATGAGGCACTTACAGATCTTAAAGACCTCCGAAAATTCGGCTGTCCAGTTTTGTGTGTTTAGGTTACAGTTAAGTGGAGCACTCGAAGTAGTATACAAACAACAACGCTAGTGTGGTTCAACACTGACGGGGATTTGGGTCATGGGGAGGAGTAGACACCGTGAACACCCGCGCTCTGGGAGGACATGCAGTCGGACTTAATGGTAAATGATCAAAGCAAACCAGAGTTAATCTAAGTACGACAAATCCAACCGCAAACTGTAAATTATAAACCCAAGGTGACATTAGCGCCGGGTGACGAAACTATCAGGATTTACGGTTTAGAAGAAGAAGAAGAAGAAGATGATGATGATGCGATCACTGGAACAAGCAGTTGATTGGCCCCACGTTTCGGATTCTCACTCGAGCCCATCATCAGAGACGGTTGCAGATAAAGGTCCGACATGTTGAAAGTTTAATGCCCAAACACTGGATCAAGAACGCATAGTGTGATTGATGCGATTGGAGCATTCAGACTCAAGTGGTGCTATCCTCCTCTTCATAACGGAAGCCCAATTCTCCACTTAGCCCTGAAGCAATAGGCATCAAGGCCGCCGATAACGCTAATACCAAGCAATGATGGAGCGATACACCGAAAGGTATATGAGGGACTAAAATGATAATTTGTGTCTTATTTGTCTTCGTCAACGAAAGTGTAAAAATAAACAAGATGCAAGCAGACGGACACTCTTCAAATATTTTGAGGAGATCAAGTTATTACCTGTAAAGAGGGATCGGTAGACAGTAGTTGTCTCTCCACCTCAGTAAAGGGGGGCCGACGACCGATGGCGTGGAGTTCAGTGCTGAAAACACTCAGCAGACCGAGCAGGGCCTGGTCATCAAGCGTCCCAACCTCGTCGGTACTGAAACGGTCAAGGTATTCCAACAGGGCACCGAGGGTGAACACGAACAGGCGGAGACTCCTTCTGCCAAGAGTCGAGTCCGGCGGTATAGGTGCGGCTATGCACAAAAGGAAGAAGAGCTAGTGATGAGCTCATGTTGCAAGGTGCAGCGTTAGGCACTCAAATGACTACGTAGTTGTGTGGAAGGATGTGGAACTTAAACTAACAAAGGGAATTCATACCGACCCAACTGTGAAAAACTCGGTGTTTCTGCGAGATTCAAACCGGCGACAGCAAGGGGAAGGCTTTAGCACAGCCAAAGAGGCCCCACCGGGAGCCGTAAGTTTGATTCCACCTTGTGTCAAAAAGAATTGCTCAAAATGTGCCAAAACACTTATTAACAAAGGAAGGTTATTCGCGGAATCATTGAGGTGCAGGCAAACTCCCTGGGAAGTAATCGTAACGAACAACAATGATTGAGGGCTGCTTTATAAAACCAAATGTGTTCATATTTCTCTGCTGAAAACGAACTTGAGTACATCAGCGAAAAACATGCCCAGAGCCCGTAGCCATGACCACCCGCACTCTTGGCTTCAGGTCCTTGTAGGAGAGATTAGCTGTTTTTTGGGGAGACAGATCACCCTCATGCGTGAGAAAAGAGTTTCTTAACGAAGTTTGTTATTGAGACTGGGGTGGAGTAACATATATGCCCAAAACTGCCGGTGTACGGGTGATCTGACTTGTAAAAAGCGGCAAAATTAAGCTCTCATGCGCGCGATAGGGACATTTTTGCGGACATGCTTTTAAAAAGTGAGTTGAAGTACCTGCGCTATCTTCTGACACCCCTTCCTCCTCTGTAGGAGGCGATTCGTTGAAGCCGAGCATGGAAATTTCCAGAAGACCACGAAGCAGCGCACCAACTGCAGTCCTCTCCTCGACAGTCCTGCTTTCTCCCAATGGCAGGGCGTCAATGAAGCGTTTGAAAGTCAGTCTACGGTTGTCGTTGGACTACAGGAGAAATTATTCGCGGCAAAAAGTAAACAGGCTCAAAGACGCTGCAACCCGACAATAAGCAGAGGCAATTAACAAACAGGTCAAACTGCGTAAACGCAACAAGATAATTTTCAGGAAAAATGGAACTGCGACTTAACGGGTGAGCATAGGGAGGGAGGCAAGCTGAGTGCGAGAAGAGTAAAAACGAATGAAAATACTTCTTCGGGCCCGCGTCGCGCACTCTTACAGACGAACCCCTGACGTTAACGTCATTATCGGTGAGGAGATGCTTCCTAAAAAATAGTCGAGGTAAAATTCTCACTGACGGTAGAGGTTTTAGGGCGTAGGGTGGGCATAAAGATGGCCCTCTCCGAGTACAGAACAAGCCATCTGAACAGAATTACAGTGAAGGCTGTCGGATTAATGTACGTTTAAAAATTTCATAGCATTAGTACAGTAGGTCATAATGCCTTCAACTCTGTGGACGGCGTACCACTCATATCACCTTTTAGTTGGCTGCGGCGGGCAAGAGCGCGCTGTATGCTGTTCCCTATTGATTTTCCTGTGTTTCTGAACGAAGAAACCCATCACCGAAAAGTGTTTCATGAATTCCCTTTTCTCAACGCTTTGCCAGCAAGTCGGCCGAAACTACTTTTCTACTCATTAGGCCGGATGGGGGTATGTTAGTAATACAGGGTGTGCGATTGTGCGACTGATAAGATAGCATGCACATAAGTTGTTCACGAATGAAGGCGAAATTTCGAGTTCCAGGTGTATGCATAAGTGAAGAAGAAGAGTCGAGCACCGGAACACTTTGTTTATTGCCCTGCGCTTTCAGACTCGTGCAGGTGTCCATCGTCAGAGGTAGTAGCAGCAACAGAACAAGCGACAGTTATAAGGCATGTAGGACAATCATCGACCGACGGCACAAGACTGAAGGTGACTACGCAGGGCTCTATACGCCTGAGGTTAAACTCGTGACCCATTTCGTAGGTGTGAGCGGCCACTTGTGATAATGCGTCGCCTCGTCGCACAGCCAGTTTATGTTCCTGTACGAGTCTGAAAGCTCAGGACAATAAACAAAGTGTTCCGGTGCTGGACTCTTCTTCTTCACTTATACATAAGTTGTTCATCATTTGTTGAAGTCCTCTTTTTAGGGTCGTTTTACCGGTTTTCAGAGTAGACCAGCCTTAATCGTAAAAAACCTCGTCTATACTTAGAACTGCTTATGCACATGTTAACCCGCGTACGTAGAGGATCAGTATCCAACTTATAAAACTGCTTACGGAAACCTGATCACCGCAGGATCCTGGATCCCATGAGTTCAGTTCAAGTTCAATGGTCAGAAGTGCGGCAAGGAGAGCAACGCGATCCGGGCTCGGTGTGAGGCAGTCAGCGGAGGAGGCTCCCACTGTGAGGACGTCCTGAAGAGTTATCGCAAGGTGCTCCCTACCGAGGCAGCGCAGAGTTCCGGGGTCTCGTGCTGGCAAAGGGCAGGATCCGTTAGCGACTGCGGTGAGACAGGTCGCATAGATGTGGTGGACGAGGTAGGTGGCTGGGGTGGCGGGTGAGATTCGTGCCGTGAGGAGGCGAGAAAGACCCGTCCAGGCAGCTAACGCCACCGGATGGACCTGAAAGCACTGTTGGTTTTCCTGAAATGAGAGAGCAGGGGTGAAGCAACATAAATCTGGGACTGTGTGGAGATCACACAAGTCGTTCGAAGGTTTGACCATCGTGTCCGCTGATGTCCACCGTGTGCTCCACGGCAAGGTGAGATCAGGCAGGGTGACTTGCGCATGGTTTCTGTTATAGTGATGGTAGACTTGCGCTGTATCTACCGCACCCCCTCTTCATCTCCCATCTGGACCCGGTGTCAAGACAGAACCCAGGCGACCGGAGGCGGGAGAGGGCGCAGGCTTCTGGCACGGTCAGACTCGCACCTAGGCGTACTACCAAACCCCCTGGTCCACAACAAACAAAAACTTGACCAGGATTTTAACCAAAAACAAAATAGACGAGTCAGAAAGAGAAAGACGACTGAGAAACGATGCACACGACCTGTATACCCAGCAGGAACGCAGGCGCATCTACCGGCAGGGAACTTAGCACGAGAGAACTGCCAGCGCACACCAGCCTGCGAGAGCCAAGTTTCGTTGAATCACGGCCTAGGAGGCGCATACAATCCTTAGGTAGCTTACACCCTAGGTGAATAGCAAATAACAATCGCTAGACAGAAGTCAAGTGGAGGGCATCAAGAAGCATCTGAGCCTACTGATCAGCCAGACCCCTGATGAGTTCTGCTCTAGGCGATTCCGTTTTCCTGAACTCAGACAGGTAGAATTGTCAGTGAGGTAATAATTGTCACCAATTTTGTTGATTTGAAGGGCTAGACACGATGTCTTCCCGTGTAGGTCAACCTTGAGTCCCAAAGTGACCCAAAAACACAAAGAGACCACAATAGGCAACCAGGAGAAATTACAAATTAGGCAAGATCAAAAAGGCCAACATGATCGCTGACAGTCGCAAGACCTCGTGTGCTTGTTTTTGTTGATCGAAGCAACTGCCAACTGGAGACAGCATGCGTGAATCGGGAACAGTTGAAATCTCAGTCGCCTCATGCCTATAGGTAGTGATCTTTTCTTGCATGGTTAAGTATAATGTGGACTGCTCGGGGCTGCCATCCTCCGATGTCTGAGCTTGCGTGTTCTGCGAATCCAACAAGATCAGAGGGCCCCTTACTCGGTGGATTAAAACGGAAGCAAGTTGCTAGTGGGGCACCAATTAAGTTACCGACTGATGCTGTCAGGTATCCTACTGCTTTTTTGTAATCGTAGATGCTGGTTAGAGATACGACTGACGAAAGATGAGGTTGAATCGGCTGCAGTCTTAGTCTCCGCTGTCCTTGTCGGTCCTTCGTCATAAATACTGCGGAATTCTACCTCGCAATGGTCTCTGTGACAGAAAGGACCAATGTCAAAATGCTACGGACTTCACCTCTGGGTGGGTTGAAACTTGTCTCGACTTAAGATTGCGTCGAAAGCGATATCACAGACCAACGAGTCTTTCTCAGATCACGGAACGTATGTATACGAAGTCAACTTACCCAGGTCTTAGTACACCTCCGACAGTTCAGCCATCGCAAACGATGATATCGCCGTGTGCCTCAGGACGGTGACCGGCGGGTGAATCAAGTTGTAGTGATAGCAGACTTGCGCAGCATCTGCCGCGCTCTCTCCTCCCTCACCCAAATGGGTCAGGTGGAAAGAGAAGGTAGGAACGACCACGGACTGACACGGACCCACTGGCTAACAATTCGAAACAGTCATTCTATGCGTGCCACGGACGACCTGGTCCCGTGCAGTGTACCAAGATTTCACAGAGGGCGGCTCATATAAGATATGGGTGGGAATGTCATAGAGAACACATTTAGAAGGAGCGAGTCTGACTTTCACTCCTGAGAGAACCAAGCTACAGCGTTGTCACTCTTTCAGGCCAGGACTTCTGGTGCGTCGCGACGGATTGCAGCGCGTCAGATATATTATCGTACGGAATGCGCTGAAGCGTCGTAGAGATGGATTTCTCAGAGCTTACCTCACTCTCCGCCCTCCTGCTGAGTCAGTCAGTTGTCCTGACCCGTCAGGCGTCTGGTGCTGCGATTGGGCGCAGCAGCTTAGGTGTATCACCACACACGGGTACGACGGCAGTTATGAATCAGCGAAGCTCGATAAACGCACGTCGTGAGTCATAGTGACCTTCGCTGTAATTCAGCGCATCTGCGGCCCAGCCAGTTGTTGAGACTACTTCAGGACAGGTAGAATGCCACAGTAACACATGCATCGGCATAACTGACACCGCCGTGAGGGTCTTCTTCCACGTCATTCTGCTCCTTCCAGGAATAGTTGAAGGAAAATCCAGATTAGTTGTCGTTCCAGCAGAGGCTACGCTGAACAGATACTAACCACGAGGACACATGGCCCTCGAATCAGTTCAAAGGGGTGCTCTCCAGAAGGCGACTAAGACTAACTGCATGCTTCCAGGCCTCATGAACTAGATTATTGAAGCATATTATAGAAAAAAACACGTGGAAAAAACGATTGGGCTCATAGAGACTGTGGACCTCATCGGCAAAGCTGACGATTTAAGAAGCAGTGTCTTTTAGTCAGTCCCCCTTCAACTGTTGGCGGCACTCAACGATTACAAAATGGCAGCTCTCAAGAACCGCTGCAATTCAGAGACAATTCCATACACGATATGGTTTTGTTTGTTGTAGGAGACAACCTATGCCATCGACGGATGTTCAAAGTAAGAGCTGCATCAGAGTTAAGGCGTTACTATGAACAGGCATTTTTATGTCCAATATGTATAGTAATAATCTCGAATAGACAGTGAGCTAACCTAGATAAGCGAGAAAGACTAGCAACTTTGTATACATAAAAGTGAGTTAGGAAACATGTACGGAGAATTCAAAAAGGGATTATGCCGCGGATTACCTCGTTGACTGGTTGTCGAGACAGCTGACTGACCATTTCGAGCGCGCACCTGATAAGCAAAAGAGTAGTGTCCGCCAGGGAGGAGAGCAGACTCCGCTTCAGAGGCGCAACGCCAATCGAAAATTCCGAGCACAGTGTGGAATCCGGCCGTGTTAGGCAATCCACAAATGCCCTTGACGGAAGGCAATAAAGGATTAAGAAAGACGAAAATTAGTCTGGTACTGTTGTTTTAGGACAAATAAACCCAACCTCGAGCCTGGTTGCCGGCTACCCGGCGATTAGTGGAACGACATTCAGTGGAGGTTGGCTGCGAAATAAGCATACTTATGGGCCTGGCAAATAAGCCGTCGCGGACCAGCGGCAACGATGCTACCAGCACGTGGAGGGCGGAGGCCGAACAAACCAACGGCCTTATCAATCCCGTAAGGCACGGTGACAACACTGGCATGGGGGCCCCGGCTCCCACTCAAGTAAGTTTGCTTGACACCGCTGCCCTGTGATTGGGTGTTTCAGTCAAAGCGATAGAGACGAAAACCCCGAACAAACAATCTGAGTGGCCATTGAAGATCCGCCTCTACCCGAAATTTGCAAGAAACCTCACGAACATATGTTCGAATGCAGTATTACGACCCATCCGACGGCGTCCCCAAGAACCGCTAGGCTCCCAAACCCTACTCTAGTGGTGCGAGCAAAAAACACTTGAGTTGAGCTGTTCAGCCGGGAACGGACTCTCGGTACTGGGTGATGGGATGAGAAAACGTTTCTGGACCCTGGTATCCAAAGTCTTGGGGAGCGCAGTCTTCGTCAGTACAACGCGGATGTTTGTTGCCTGTCTGAAATCCGAATACCCGATTCGGCCGCTACGTAAAAAAACACCCCGGTGGTTAATTCACACTTTGTCGACTCAGGCGCAGTAGTGAATTCCTGCATTAGCAGCGGCCCACGCGACCCTCCTAGCAAATTCGAAATGGCTCTCGTCCTCTCGGAACAGGTAAACCGCCGACTAGTTGCATGCGAAAACTCGACGTCTAGATGGCATACGTGCAACTGGAGGGCCACATAACGAACATCTCTGTCGTCTCCATGCATGCACCAGCAGTCGAACAGAACGATAAGAAGGTATTCTAATTGCAGCAGCAGGAATTAAAGGCTCCCTCGTCGTGATATACTGACTGTTCTTGGGGACTGGAATTGCCGGGCTGGATCCGGTGACTCTTCAAAGAGCCACTTTTTAACAGTTCCATGCTTGATGAAAGAATTATGAATTTTGATGAGCAGAACCGACTGTTAGTCACTAACACGTGGTTCCAGCGTCGTCACAAACATCTGCTGACCTGATAATCAAACAACAGCCACATGGCCAGTCAGACCGACTACATTTTAGCTGGTTCAAGGTTTCCCAGCTGGGTTCACGATAACAGACCGGTGCGTGGTGACGAAACTTGTAACACCCCCATAGTCTGACGATGTTCTCGTACGCACAGGCCTGGAAGTTTGCCTTTAATTTCCACACAAAATGCCAAGTTGGCAAACGTCGTGATGACGCAAAATGACGACAACTCATTACCGCCGTTTGACGATCCGAGTCCACAGAAATGTCAGTAGTCAATGGTCAGCACTGAAATCATCAGTCGGTGCGGCAGCCGAGTTCTTGGGTTCATGAAGCGGCGTCAGAAGAGCCCTACAGTTGTCTGCTCAGACGGCTCGGACGGGGTCTCGCAACTATGCCTTCTTCCGTCAACTCAGGAAAATGACAGAAATATTTGGTTTAAACAGGGACTTCCATGGAGCAGGCTTCAAACGTCCGCGACATTCTAGAACTCAACCAAATTATCCCCAAAGTTAGTCGCAAGCCCTCCATACCTAATGACTCTATTCGCGATGTGAATGGCGTAAGCACACTTCGAGCATCTTCTCAACTTTCATGAGCGACCCATCACACCTGCGCTTTCCTTTGTGGCAGTTTTATCCTTCTCCATCCTGTGCCGTGTCGTGCGACACCCCTTCTGAGGGAGAAGTTGCCGACGCAATACAAGGGCTGCGCAACAATAAGTCGCTTGAGGAGTACGGTATCGCCGCTGAAATCGACAAGTCCTCTGTCGACATTCTGACGTCCTGCCTCCATGAGGTGATTGAGTAAGCGTAGAGAACTACTGCAACGCAAGCCTCACCGATGTTGTTGTGAAGGTATGAACTGCTGTCCTTAGGCGATTCCGTTGTGTATGTGACTCTAGGACGAGGCCCAACCAAGCCGAATTCCGAGCTAGGCGTGGATGCGAGAACTAGATATCCGTACTGAGGCACACTATAGAATTCCGTCGTAGCTCTCAGCAACCGACGACCGTCTGCTCTGTTAGCTTCGCCGCTGCGTTCTGTTTCGTCCATCGTAAGTCTCCGTGGCGAATAATGGAAGTAGATGGTGTGACACAACAAGCTCCCCTAACCGTCTCATATCAGACTTGGTGATCGAAAAGGCTGTATCCTGTCGCCCATTCTGTTTAATCACACTATTATCTGGATTCTCGAAAGAGCCCTGAACGGTTTTAATGGTGTTGAGGTCGCACCCAGACGCCGACTGACTGATTTAGACTACGCCGACGATATCCCTTATTCGCCTTAAGCTTTGGTGGTCTATAGTCTGAGAAAAATGAAGTGCTCATCGGATCAAGGGGATTGTAATGACATTTGGGAGAGCTTGGCCGGCTCTCCATTATCAAGACGTTAAGTGCAAAAATCGATCATAATTTTGAACAAACGGTCGAGTTTTTAGACGTCTTGATGTAGCAAAACGCCGACAACTCATTGCTGCCGTTTGACGATCCGAGCCGGCAGATGGTAGTAGCCAATGGTCAACACTTAAATCGTCAGTTTGTGGGGCAACCGAGAAAGTTTTTGGATTCATGATGCGACGACGCTGTGCTTGGATCAGCGGAAGAACCCTGCAGTTGTCTGCTTAGACGGCTCGCACGACACAGCCTGTGGAGTCAGTTATATTCTTGCAACCCTCCCCTCCATACCGTCTGTAAAATATCCTCAAATATATGCGGTGGCAGAAGTTTTTAAAATGTGAAAAAACGAGTGCACCTAAAGACTGAGTCGCGAAAGAGTTGTATATATCAAAACTATGGGAAGCAAAATAATGTAACTCACGATATGACTGGTGGCACCTGGTGTAACCATTCATCTCGAATGGCCGAGACCATAAACTGCTGAGACGAGAACAGATCACGGAGAATTGCAGCAGATTTGCTCGCGTCCTCGAGGCTTTTGGGGTCGGACAATCCGGGAACAAGGGCTGTGAGGGCCTTGATTAGTTCAAAAGTCAGCTGTACTCGCTGGAAGATAGACCAGACGGACGAGGAAGAGGCCGAGACGATGAGATTTTGTGCTACAACGGACTGTAGAAGGGCTGACCGGAAGGATGAGCCTGTGGGAAATAGGAATTAGAAGAAGGTTGGGTAGAGTAATCGCTTACAATTAGCCGTAAATTTGCCTTTTAAGTCGCTGGTAAACGCACCGAGAGGACGGCTACGAGCCACTGCGACCAAAAGACGAAGGCAGAAACACGAAGAGTCCAATGAAAGGTCTGCAGGCGCATCATCTGTGGCTGTAAGTTGTTCGTATAGTTGTTCTGAGAGGGGCGAAGGCGAGAGAGTAATTGTCCAGAGGTTTGTCGAAGCTCGCTCGTAGAGATGGGCATAGACAGTGGCAAAGATCCATGCAGGTTCTTTCGGGAACTGAGGAATGTCAGCCAGGGATTTAATGCACGTCCAGACGAAGGAAAGGGCTATGTTTGTGGGAGCCAAATCAGTTGCAAGTGAGAGTAGACTGGGATTTTCAGAGCCCTCTCCACTCAGAGTGAGGAGGTGAGCCAAGACACCGACAAGATAAACCAGTTTTGCATCATAGTCCTCTCGAGTTGGGGTCAGAAGTCGAACAAGATCATTAAGGACAAGGATGACCAGGCAGGAATTTTCAGGACCTCCAGTTTTGCAAGATGAATATAGAAGAAAGAGCATAGTGGACAGCACTTCTTCATCAATAGGCGCAAAAGCCGTCAAAAGGGGTCTAACAGCCAGACAGTCACCGAAGCAAGACTGCCATTGTTCAAGAGCGTCAGGCTGGAGACGTGATAGGAAACAAAGGGAAGTAATGAGTGTTTCTGCGGCTATATCCGGAAAGAGGCAGGGATTGAGCAGCATTTTGGAAAGTTGGCAAAGGGCTGACAGTGCTAACCGCTTGTCTGAAGAAACAGAGTTCGTATAATGGGCATTTGTCGGGCAGGAAAGGACAAGACTGTTGATGCCGGCCAATGAACTGAGAAAGTACATTTTTAACCTAAAAGGAAACGAACCATGCTACACAAACCAGAAGTAAATACTGTAAATTTCTAAAGCATAAATGGCCTAGTTAACCGTTTCTTACTGGGACAGAATGCTTTTGGGTTGTCCAGCAGATGCACAAATAAGGGTGGCGAGCGTTTCCAGCAAGCGCAGCACCGTTTTGACGACTGAATAAAGATCCGGCGGACAATCTGTGAACGGTGTGCCATACATATAGCTGGAGATGCACAAGTAGGCCCGTACAGCAGCAAGCGGGGTCAGAAAAGCCAGATCGCATGACGATCTCAAATCCAGGAGCACACGCCGCCCGGCATCACTCAAAAGGTGGATTTCATCTACTGGCAAAGATCCGTTGTTGGGGGTAGCATTATTCTCGCAGAAAGTCAGCTGTGCGGCCAATCTCGGCAGCAAAAAGTAGGGAGAATTGTTAGCTGTCCGGCCTGTGGCTTTGAGATAGTTCGCAGTCAAAATGAGTTCAGGGGTTTTCAAAAAATCAGTGGGGTGTGTGAAAACATTATCTACAAAAAAGAGAATCATTGACTTAGTTTCACTTCTCCACCACGCAAGCCTAGGCTGTCTTGTTCAAGGTGAGTCAAATCTCAGATGATCCTGGTAAAATTCCGTAAGCACAGGTGTGACAGGAGGATAGGAATTTAGTATATAATACGAAAATATTTGATTAACACAGCTGTGTTATCCAGGAGCCACTTAACCGTAAAGTAATACAGGCGGTACCATTTCACGTACAATCTCCACATGTGAGAAAATCTGATCCCGGCGTTGTTTGGAGATCTTCTTTCTGCCTGACACCAGAACGTGTGGAGGGCGGGTGTGTGGCGAATGTATTGATCAGGACCCAGGTTGTGATTTGCCAATTGAAATGATTCCGCATTTTTTGCGCTGACCCCAATAAGAAATTGTCTACGATCTTTTCTCGTTAAAAAGTCTCCTGTTGACAACGGTTGTAAGGTCGCCGCGGACGTGTCGCTGAAGTTAACGTAGCCGTAGTGACCACTGGCTCAACTTCGTTTAGGAGTCTACTGCGTCCCGACTTAAATGAACGGTTGTTGGTAGTGATGTGGTGGACTTCTGATACGGAGCCGGTTGGATAGGTTGTGATTACCGTTGACGAAATTAACGAATTATTCGTCGACTTGGCGAAGCGTGTTTTGTTACTAGTAGAAAAAAAGTACTACGAATCTCTTAGCATACAATTTAAAACCACCAACTGTGAAAGAGCAGATAAAAGAACATATATCAAGGCAAACGGCCTAATTTCTGATCTTATGGGCATCGCCGCTAGTCCACAGACAGAGATATCAGACGACAGGGTGAAAATAAGTTAATGGGAAAGTATTGAAAAAGCTGCCCGCAAATAAAAAGTCATCAACCAACTTTTTTGGGAGCAAGGACGACTGACCTGTACAAAAGGAATTTTCGATAGAAGTGTGAGATGATAGATGGTCAAGGAAACGGATGATACTCCTGATTAGCCGTGGTGAACGCGAACGGATCGAATCCGAGTAGTCGAGACTGGAAGCATGTGTGACCTTATTAGGGCCCTGGTTTTCGCCGGATTCCGTTGGAAGATAACAAAGCTTTTGAAAAGCACATGAAAGTTCCCACAAAGTGCAAAAATCATCAACCGAAGGTATAGTGGGCGGCCTGCGACCATCCAGCCCCTTTTCGAAGGGGGGTTCCCCACTTGTTCGCTGAAGCAAGAGCTGCGCAGCATCTATGCAGGTAACAACATACTTCGCTTGGCTTTGGAAATTATTTGTAGAAAAAGAAAAACTAACTCTTCGGCTTTGTCATCAATCACTGTCTGTTCACCTGTGCTCCTCTTATGCTGCCAGGGCTTCCTCAACATTTTCGAAGGCAGTGCTTCAGGCTGCCCCAACAACCTGTAAGGAGTGTTGTCGGTAGTCCAAAAAACGGACTGACAAATGCTAAAAATTTCATCAGCAAGTGACTCGGTTTTAAGTCTGTCAAAGAGAGCACTTCTAATACACCCTAAATACACACCGAGCTTAATTCGGCGGCGCTTTATTCTAGGCCTGTGCAAATCAGACCAACAAAATTCAGTATTAAATCAACCTGAGTTAGTACTACAGCGTGTGCTCAAACTAGCAAAGATGTTTCGGTCGACATAAATATGAATACTCAAATTCAGCTTCGAGCTGGCAAACATCGAGGGAATGTATAACTGTCTGGGTTTCACAGCAGTATCAGGAGGATTATTTTATAAATTATCTCGACTTGTAGCTCTCACGCCTTGCGTATTTGCTTCTTTCGATTTTTTCGAAAATTTTTGGTGCTATCTTTGGAGCGATTTGTTATTAAAAGGACCGTTACCTTTTGTTTACTGTTGTGTCTTGTCAGGCTGCTATAGTCTCCAACGAATAAATCGGTTCGAATAGTCCTGCCGGGCGTCGTAGTGCATAAAGCTAAAGCGGTGCCTGACTAGTTAAGTCCTTAGAAGTATGACGCCCTGACTACTCTCATAGGTTTCTAACTTGAAGAATATGCTTTATTTGTCCCGATGCATGGAGCGCCGTACACGGAAGCCAGTCGACTGACGCCCAACCCAGTCCACACAACCTGTCCAGTTGTGTGTGTTGTGTGGAGTGTCAGATTGCTGTGCTAAAAGCCAGACCGTCATAGCCCCTCCTCAACCGACCTCTGACATTATCATTTATTTGAGGAGAGTGTTCGTGCTGGTGAGTGTGCTTCATGGGTAGTGCCTCTCTGTCGAGGACTGTTTAGTTGCCCAACCTTGAAGGATGGCGGCCCAGGCTAAATGCAGGGCCACGTGTCGCTCTTATCAATCAAAACGTCTGAAAGCGTATGCTGTATTAGCAAACCATGGCGCTCGCAGCCTGGTATGCACCCGCAGTTTTCTGACACTTGGCTTCCTGCCGGCATATGCGCTTGTACCCCCGCTGGGCATGGCTGCACAGTCATCTTCATAATTCTGGCTCCTGTCCATGTGTGGTTGTTGGTGATGACGAAAAATCCGGTCATGTGTATGTTATGGACCAAGGGGCGCGATGGCGCGCCTAGGTGCGTGCTTGGCCTTGTTATCCACCTGCGCCCTCTCCCGCCTCCGGTCTTCTTGACTTTGTCTTGACACCAGGTCCAGGTGGAGGAAGAGGAGAGTGCGGTAGGTGCATCGCAAGTATACTGTCACTATAAACTTACTCACGCGCAAGTAGGCGCCCCTGCTCTCACCTTGCTGTGGAGCACACGAGTGACATCGTCGAACTCGACGGTCAAGCTATGTATGTATGTATGCTCGTATGTATGTATGTAGTTGGGGTGTAGGGGTGTCAGCGGCAGGTTCACGTAATGGTCGTGGTGGTCGCTCACTTGCTTGCAGGTGAGACTGCGCCTAGCGTCCACTTGCTGGCACTCATCTGTGGCTCCACGTAGCTGGGCTCTGCTCATCGGCCACACCCCGGGCAACCGTCTCGACCGGCGGGCTAAACCTGGTGAAGGGGCCCTGTGCGCTGTGCCGTGTGCACAGGGTTTGCGGATTCCGCTGGATGGAAGGTCGGATGGAACCTTGCGTCGGCACCGTCGTGACGTGGTTCGTCTCTGCACGTCGCTTGACAGCCGGTGACGGGATGGATCTCCACATCGACATCGCCTTGACGCGCCCACCCTCGCCGACGGAGACCGCGGCTTACGGCGAATTCGAGTCGCTCTCCACTACAACCCGAAGTCGTGGTCCCATAGTGGAGTTCGGCCGTGCCACAACGGCACATGGCAGCCCTATTCAGGGATGGCACTGCCAGCCCCCACGAGGGGAAGGGCCTAGAAAAGGTGGCCTAAACCTTGCTGGGTACCACGCCGTCTCCAGGCTAGCCAGGGCCGCAGACGTCTAATCATGGTCGAAACAATCAAAATCGAAACAACAACAATACCAATAACAACAACAACCTTACTCATTCTCCTCATCCTACCTCTTCTGCCCCTTCCTCGGTCTATTCTTCTCCTTCGTCACCTTCTTCTCCATCTCCCTCCAGTCGCCCCACTCGTCGTCTCCAGACTGGCAGGGTGAGTCCGCTCACTCTGGCAGCCTGGAATGTTCGTTCCCTTTTAGACAATCCGCGGAGCAACCGACCGGAAAGGAGGACAGCGTTAGTGGCACGAGAACTGGCGCGCTACAAGGTGGACATCACCGCACTCAGCGAGACCCGTTTCTCCGAACAAGGCCAACTGGAGGAGGTGGGTGCCAGCTACACCTTCTTCTGGAGCGGTCGACCCAGGGCAGAGCGACGGGACGCGGGCGTCGCCTTCGCCATTCGGAACGACATCGTGGGACGACTGCCCTGTTTGCCTCAGGGCATCAACGATCGCCTGATGAGCCTCCGCCTGCCTCTCTGGGGAGGCAAATTCGCCACCATCATCAGCGCCTACGCTCCGACCATGA